CTAGGTAACTCAATATCTGATGGTAAATTACCATGCTTAGTGCAAGATAGATTAGTTGGAGAATTCGTAGAAGAAATCGCGTGCGGAGATCACCATGTTGCGGTTTTGACATCTAGAAGTGAAGTCTTCACATGGGGGAAAGGTGCTAATGGAAGATTAGGACATGGAGATACAGAGGATAAAAGAACACCAACTTTGGTTGAAGCCTTGAGAGATAGGCATGTGAAGAGCTTATCTTGCGGCTCAAACTTTACGTCGAGTATATGTATACATAAGTGGGTATCTGGAGCAGATCAGTCAATCTGCTCCGGATGTCGTCAAGCATTCGGATTTACCCGAAAGAGGCATAATTGTTATAATTGTGGTTTAGTCCATTGTCATGCTTGTAGCTCAAAGAAAGCTCTAAAAGCAGCATTAGCTCCAACTCCGGGGAAACCACATCGCGTATGCGATGCTTGTTATAGCAAACTTAAAGCCGCGGAGTCTGGTTATAGTTCTAGCGTAAACAGGAATGTTGCAACTCCAGGACGGTCAATAGATGGGTCAGTAAGAAGTGACAGAGAAACAACAAGGTCATCGAAAGTTCTCTTGTCCGCAAACACAAATTCAGTCAGGTCATCATCGTCAAGGCCTGGATTCACACCTGATTCTTCTAATGCTCGTGCCTCGCAAGTTCCATCTCTCCAACAACTTAAAGACATTGCATTCCCGAGTTCGCTTAGCGCCATTCAAAATGCTTTCAAACCTGTTGTTGCTCCTACTACTACTCCACCGCGTTCACTTGTTGTTGGACCATCATCTCCATCACCGCCTCCACCTCCAAGATCATCCTCTCCTTATGCAAGAAGAACGAGCCCTCCACGCACTTCTGGATTTTCAAGAAGCGTTATCGATAGTTTGAAGAAGACTAACGAAGTTATGAACCAAGAAATGACAAAACTACAGAGTCAGGTATCTTTATTTCTTGGTTCTTGTTTTCCAATCACTAACACTAACAATATAATAAACCTAACTCATTATTGAAACAACTCAAACTTTTAGGTTAAGAATTTGAAGCAGAGATGTAATAATCAAGGTACAGAGATTGAGAGATTTCAAAAAGCAGCTAAAGACGCTTTTGAATTAGCTGCAAAACAATCTTCAAAACATAAAGCAGCAACAGAAGCACTCAAGTCTGTTGCAGAACAGGTTTGCTCCATTTTTTGTATGCTCAAAGAATCTTTGTTTCTTGTTGCAACATATCATATAACATATTTCTATTTCAGTTAAAAGAATTGAAAGATAAATTACCTCCAGAAGTATCAGAGAGTGAAGCATTTGAATCTATTAACTCTCAAGCTGAAGCTTATCTAAACTCAAACGAAGCATTAGAAACATCTTCACTTACAACTTCAGGACAAGAACAAGAAACATATCAAAAGACAGAGGAACAAGTATCTTCTAACTCAAGTATAACCGAGGCATCGAATTCATCAAGAACACCAAGTACAGAAGCTTCATCATCAAGAACAAGTGGAAAAGAAAGTAAAGAACAGTTTGAGCCTGGTGTTTATGTGACTTATGAGGTAGACATGAATGGTAACAAGATCTTTCGACGAGTTAGGTTTAGTAAAAAAAGATTTGATGAGCATCAAGCAGAAGATTGGTGGACCAAAAATAAAGATAGGTTGCTTAAGTGTTATGGTTCAAATTCATCATCATCTTCATCGAATCCAACGGCTTCGGACTCACCTATTGCTCCACAACCACCAGCCGATCCTGAACAGAGCAACGAGAAGGAACCAGAATCTGAAACCTAGTCATATGTGAGTTAATTATTGTTTTTGATTTGTATCAGTTACAGAGGCAAAATGGAGAAGTAGTCATTGCTAGTACACTGTCACATGTTAATTATATAGAAATTCTGTGGTGTTTTGTTTTAATTCATTACTTTGATCTTGTAGTGCCTTGTGCAAATATATGAACAATTATGGAAATATGATTGTAATGACCAAACGTACCAATTTCACATTTTTACTTGCGTCTTTTTTCTCATAAACTTTCGTTTCCTATTATTTTTACAATTTGTCACATTTGTTATTACAACTCTTTGTTTTACATCTACTAACACACTAAATGTTTGTCCCACATCATGCGAGAGATTAAATATCATTCTCTACATCACAATGCCATTGAAAATAGGGAGACTCACAAAAATGCCCCTTTTTCAATACCCCTTTTCAAAAATGCCCCTTTTGGCTGTCCATTTTTAAAAATACTCATTTTTATGTACAAAATGACTAAATTACCCTTCTTTTAATAAAATATATCACAAATATATAAGGAAATATAACAAAATTAGGTCCACAAAATACAAAATATTTTTTGGCGGGAAAAGTGATCCCACAATTTTTCCCGCCAAAACACTTGTAAAAACTTGTAAAACCTTTAAAATACCTTGTAAAATTTTCCCGTAAAATTTTTTCCCGCCAAAAAATTTTTTTTGCGGGAAAAGTGATTCCGCAATTTTTTTGGCGTTAAATTTTTGGCGGGAAAATTTTTGGCGGGAAAAATTTACAAGGTATTTTAAAGGTTTTTTACAAGGTATTTATAAGGTTTTACAATGTATTTTAAAAGGTTTTACAACGTATTTATAAGATATTTATAAGATATTATAAGATTTTACAAGCTATTTTATAAGGTTTTACAAGTTATAAGGTTTTACAAGTTTTTTATAAGGTTTTACAAGGTATAAGTACCTTGTAAAACCTTTTAAAATACTTTGTAAAACCTTACAAAACACTTGTAAATACTCTGTAAAACCTTTAAAATACCTTGTAAATTTTTCCCGCCAAAAATTTTCCCGCCAAAAAAATTTCGCCAAAAAAATTGCGGAATCACTTTTCCCGCAAAAAAAAATTTTTGGCGGGAAAATTTTACAAGGTATTTTAAAGGTTTTTAAAAGTGTTTTGGCGGGAAAATTGCGGGATCACTTTTCCCGCCAAAAAATATTTTGTATTTTGTGGACCTAATTTTGTTTCAAATAAGGGTAAAATGGTCATTAAAAATTAAAAGAGGGCAAACTTAAATATGGACTCTCAAAGGGGGCATTTTTGAAAAGGGGTATTGAAAAAGGGGCATTTTTGAAAAGGGGTATTGAAAAAGGGGCATTTTTAACAATTTCTCTTGAAAATAAACCATTTAGAAGATTTTTTTATATTTGACATAATATAAGAAAATAGATACGAAGTTTAATGTAACAAAACTATGGTTACTAAATTTATACTTATACAGTAAAACCTCTATAAATTAATAACCTCTCTAAATTAATAATTTCTTCCGGTCCCGAGTTGGGACCAGTATAAAAAATGACACAAATCGATAAATTAATAAGATAATATTTTTTTTTAAAATCCTATGTAAACATATGGTCCCATCAATATTATAAATTAATAATTATATAAATTTATCAATATATATATATTTTATGTACAAAATTTATTGAAATATGACTCTAGTATTATTTGTTTTTTTTTAATTGTATTTATTTTTGGTAGAGTTTAATTTTAATATTTTTACTACTACGAAAAAGTTTGTGTTATTTTTCAAACTTAATAATTGATTTTCTACTTGTAATTAGTTTCGGAAAGAAATTGATTATAAAGAAAAAACTGCTTTTCAGGTAGATTTTTTAATTTTTTTTACAAAATTAGTAAAATCTCTTTATAAATTAATAATTATCGATAAATTAATACTTCTATAAATTAATAAAAATTTCCGGTCCCAACATTATTAATTTATATAGGTTTTACTGTAGTACACTGATCATAAAAAACTCTCACATATTTTTCAAAATGTTAATCAATGGTTTAAATATTTAAGTCTAAACAATAATTGTTATTACAAGTCCATTTATATAAGGGTGAATTTGCTCTATAACCAAAATACAATCTCAAATTAAGAATATAGCACTATATTCAAAAATATTAAGAAAGTAACATAAGGGACAAGGGAAAAGACTAAACTAGTGTCAGGAACTCCGAGACTATACTATTTCATTAGAACGAAACATTTTTAATAAAATGTATGTAGTGGTGGTGGTGATGGTAATAACTTGGTGATGATGATGGTGACGGTATGGTGGTGATGACATAGTTGTGGTAGCGGTGGTGATGACGGCATGGTGGTGGTGATATAGTGGTGGTGATGGTGACGTTGGTGGTGGTTGGGACAACGGCGATGGTGGTGGAGGTAGCAGTGGTGGTGGTGACTGTCATGGTGGTTGCGGCGGTGGTGGTAGTGATAGTGATAGTGGTGATGGCGACATTATGGTGATTGATGTGGTGGTGGTGACGTTATGGTGGTCGTTGTGGTGGTGATAGCATGGTGGTGACGATGATGGTAGTAGTGGTGGTGATGACGTGGTTGTGGTGGTGACAATATGGTAGTGGTGATGGTGACGTCATTGTAGTCGCAGTAGTGGTGGTGGTGACGTTATTGTGGTCGCGTTGGTGGTGGTGGTAACGACGATGATGGTGGTGGTTGTAGTAGTGATGGTGCGCCATGGTGTTCGCGGCGATGGAGGTGGTGACGTCAATAACGTGGCAATGGTGGTGGTAGTGTAATGGTAGGGTTAAAATTGTCAATAATACATGTAATATACACAATATCATAGTTCTATGGTTAGAATAGTTAGATAGTGAATTAAAGTTTTTTTCTTGGTTATACAGCCAAATTTCTCTTTATATAATCCTATGTTTAATGATCTCCAAAAAATAGTTATAGGATACAAAGATGAAATTTTATAAAATATAGGGAGCATTTTACAAAATTCAGCAAACTCTATAGAAGAAACGTCAAACGTGAATTACAAAGTTGTTTCCTCTGAATTTCTTCGAACTCTTCTTTGCTAAGGAAAAATTAAATATCCAACTGTGTGAATTAGATATTTTCTCTTATCTCTTCTCTTTTGATAAAAATTTCAATTTTCCCGAGATTTTGTTTCTCTCGATCGATTCCACACCTAAAGATTGAAGCTTTTTCTTCTGGGTTTGTGTAAAGTTTCCACCTTTCGTCTTCTTTCTGATCTGTGAGAAGAAATGGGACAACAGCAATCTAAAGGGGAATTGCTGTATCAGCAAGTGAGTTATGGTAACTCTGAAGGAATTCGAACTCTTCATCGAGATGGTGGAGACCTTGAGGTTGGTTCTTGTCAATTTTTGTTTTAATCAAATTGATTTTGAATTGATCGAAATTAGGGTTTGAATTGATTTTGTGTGTGTTTTTGGGATTGCAGTGGATGGATAGAGAAGGAAAAACTGCGTTGATCTTGGCTTGTATGAACTCGGAGCTATATGATGTTGCTAAAACTTTGATTGAGTTGGGTTCTAATGTTAATGCTTACCGTCCTGGTAATTCAAAGATCTTAACTTTTCTCGAAATTGGTTATGAAGTTAGTTTCTTGTTTATGCCCAAATTGAACTCAATGCTAAGTTAGGGTTTGGTGACATTGAATGCTGTGATAGTCATTGAAATGTAACAACCTGTCAAGTTGCCGCTAGTGGAATGTGTTAGTAGTTTGAGACATTGTTGTAGTGTGATCTTAGATGCTTACCCTTAGAAAGGAAGTTTTAGTTTTAGAGTGTGATTGAGCTAATTTGGTCATTTGTTTTTGTCTTCAGGTCGTAATGCTGGGACTCCTCTGCACCATGCTGCAAAAAGAGGTCTTGAGAACACTGTTAAGTTACTTCTTTCGCACGGTGGTATGTGTTTGTCTTCTCTTACAACTTGATGAATGTGAGTTTAGTAAATACTTTTGGTGTCTTTATCTCATATGGTGTGTCCTATTTACTTGTAGCAAATCCACTTGTTCTCAATGATGATTGTCAGACACCACTTGAGGTCGCTAGAGTCAAAGGGTTCAGCAATGTCGTACGTGCAATTGAGGTATGTTTGTAATACCTGTTTGATCATTTATTCTAACCGACTTTTGAATGATATGACTACTTTGTGGATTAATAGTATTTTTTTTTGAATTGTGGATTCTGTAGAAACATATCTGCTTGTTCTCGGGTTGGATGCGTGAATTTTACGGCCCTACCTTTCTCGACTTATTTGCTCCGCAGCTTCTTTCAAGAAGAGTGTGAGTATCCATTGAACTTCACCCTTATATTTCTTTTTTGTCACGGAAAACTCGTTTCTTTCACTGAATCTGAGGAAAACATTTCTCTTATGAACATGGCTATGAATCTTCTTTAAACCTTGATTTGCAGATGGGTAGTCATCGTACCTACTGGTTCAAGAAACCCTACAAAGCCTTTCAAATTGGAGCTGGTTGTGTATGCTAGTCTGCAGGTGTGATCATCATTAGATAATAATAAATTCATGACGTGTAACTTTCAATGGTTTTTAAGTCTTGCATATTTGGCTAATCTGTCCATAAAACTGGTCTGATGTAATCAGGATGCACAGCCACGCACGGTGATGCCTTTGTGGAAAGCAAACTTGGAAGAACCAAAAGCAAAGCAGTCCGATACTTCAGTGATGATCGTTGATAACTCCACAAGTAATTTTCCCAGCACTTTTGTATGTTGTTGACATGCAATCTCTAGTTTTGTGGATGTTGATTGAATTTTATTCTGGTGGATAGTCCCAAGCCGCAGGATGAAGAAACGCAGGGTCTGCGCCTCCCACGGGAGACGTAGGCCTCAAGTAGTTAGGCGTAAGTCTACACTGTTTAGTTGTTGACAAACTATCCTTAATTTGTATAATAAATTATCTATCTCCATATCTTAAGTTAACCAAGAAAGTATCTAAATTGAGGTCTCTGTTTTATCTGCTCTTGCATTATAGTGTTTTTTTGTTTCAATGAAGTATAAGCATGTTAAGTTTTTCTCTCTTTCTTTCAGAAACACGTCTTAAACTCGCACCTGCGACTGAAGGTGACAGCCAACAGCTGAAGTGGTTTTGTGATGCATGTAAAGGAATTCCACAGGTAATGTCAAAAACAACATCCATTGGATTTATTGAGATTTGTTTTCTCCATTTCTTCCTTATTTGGTTCTAAATATTGAAACTCGCTTGGAATATATATATACAGCCGATGCATCAACCGGTCTTCCTCCAAACAGCACCATCTGCTCCACCACCACCATCAGAAGATGAACTAGCCATGGCAATGAACGCCTCACTTCACACTACTATGAGTGACCCATCAAATCTCAATCACTATTCCATCGGTCAAGCAAGTTCCTCATCCGGTCCAAGCTCATCAACCGCACCTCCCTCAGGAAAAGCAAGCGCCTTTGCTTTCAATAGCCATGGAATTGGCATTGTCCTAGAATCTTCACCATCAGCTCCTCCATTGACAGATGATCATATATCAACTGTAGACGAAGGTCCAATTCATTACCCATCGATCGATTCAACACCCGTCGATCTCCCATCTGCTTCTTCTCTTCCAGCTTCAACAGAAGGTGAAAGGAAAGAAGATGGGAGCACTGGAACATGTGCGATATGTCTAGATGCTCCATCTGAAGCAGTCTGTGTCCCGTGTGGACATGTCGCGGGATGTATGTCTTGCTTGAAGGAGATCAAATCCAAGAATTGGGGATGTCCCGTCTGTCGCGCCAAGATCGATCAGGTTATTAAGCTGTACCGTGTGTGAAAACAGGTACAAACTCCATGGGATTATCTCTATGCTCCATTGTCTGTGAGATTAAACTTTTTCAACTATTGAAACTATCTCTCTCTCTATTACACAGCCAAAATCAGTAACCTGTTTTCTTATTATCAAAAGCTAAAAACAATGTTTATTATTTGGAACTTTAAAAAAACAGTCCCAATATTTTGTATATATGTTTTTGGACAAAAGGAAGAATGTATCAATGTAAACTTGTAAAGTGTGGTAATATATTTTGTATACAATATGTTTATTATATTTGAATTGATAATTATTGGTAAATAAATATAATTATTAAGAGTCTTAAATAATTGTAACAAATCTTGGATTGGTTCCCAAAAGTAAGAACAGCATATTTAATCATTGTACGGAAAAAGGTTGAATGGGTTAATAAACTGTTTGTGTTCAGGTAACTTTTAACTTTTCCGTTAATTACTCAACTTATCGTACTCTTCTTTTACATTGAGCAATTATTTCCACAATTAAATCTTATACTAGAAAGAAAGATGTTATTTCGTTAAATATGTAAATTTTTGAGGATACAAACAAAGTTCTTTCTATTATTTTTTTTAATTACAAAATTGGCACTATTGATAATTTGATTTATAATTAGCTGTAATGGCATGTTTTTAAAACCAAAATACAAAACAATAGTATTTTATTAGCATATTGTTAAACTTTCTAAATATATACATACATTGATACATATATGTATGTAGGATTACATATTCAATGGAAAAAATACTCCTTTGTTTGGAAATTACAAATTACAATAAAATAGTGAGCTATAAGTATAAGATAAAGATATCCCCACCACCAAATGTAGCATAAAGAGAAGCTTCATGTCATTGCTATTAATGGCATCAAAACTATAGACTAAAAGTTCTTATCAAAAGGAAAAGAAAAAAAAAACTATGACTAGAAGTATTAAACACAACAAACAAAGCATCTATAGAGTACAAGTCTAATAAGTAAATAACTAATAACCCTCATCTGTGAGTGGTCGATAAAACGGATTTCCATTCAAAATTAAGTGATCTTTTTTTTTTGTTAAGGAAAATCTAGTGATCTTAACTTTTACAAGCTCAATAATTATATAAAAGAAGCAAATTATATCAAATATATAACAACAATCCGTGGAATTTTAAAAAGAAACATCAATTGAAAAGGTGGTTTGTACAATCTACCAAACTTCCACTGTTTCATACACTTAGGTATAGAAAATTATAATTTTAATATATATACATGCTAATTTTAACGGTGCAGTGCGGTTCCAATATTAAAGAAAATGTTTACATATATATGTGTATGTATATATTTTCGTTACTAATAGAACCGTACTGTACTTTATTCGCAGCTAAATCACATGTCTCTATTCAGAGTTGTCAAAAATTAAAAATATATATACATCTACATTTTTCTTTTTTAAATAACAATAGAAAAATATATCTATTTTTTAAAAATTTCTTCTGTTGCTAAATAAATACACCTTTAAGAAAAATTATAAGTCTATTTTGTTTTTGTATAAGAGCGAAAAATCCAAAACAAAAAAAAAACAAGTGAAAAAATTTCACATGGTCCACAACGATATGAAATGGAACAGTTAGATTTGATTGATTGACTCAACATTTCTCCTTCTTTATTAAGTAACCAACCATTCAAAAACACACTTCACTGCTCATTTTTTTTCCCTCTCTGTCCCCATTCAGTTTTGTACCTCTGCCACAAGTTACCCCTTGCCGCTAACTTCTTTCAGGGGCCATCTCGTCTTTTCACTCCAGGTGTTGTCCACTCACGTAAAGACCCAAAGCCATCGTCACTATATTCTCTCTGCCCAACCCTACTACTACTAGTCTTTCCTCTAATTTAGTTATATTGTTGATCACTCACTAGATTTGATTCCATCTTTCTCATTTAACTATAAATTACTGTTTTTGTCTAGATTTGTACAGAAGTGTGGAAATGAATCATTAGCTTATAAGTTAGTCTAGCTTAGTTCAAAGATATATTTTTAAGGGTCATCCAGAAAAAGTCTTCCATTTTATCCTATAGTACGTAGTTTCAAGCAAAAATATATGTAAAACCTGTTTTATGGATTTTTAAATTGAAGAAAATGATGGTAAATAGATTACGTAAACGTAAGAGAATAGGGTTTATGGTTCCTACCCATGTAACTAGGTCGGTTCCTTCTTCTCCGGTCCAAAGTATCAAGGAAGTGGGCGAACCAAAATTTGTTTTAAAGAAAGTTGTGTTGACTAAAAAATAGTGATGAGAATAAATTCATTGGAAATTTTGTAGAGCGTTCAGTGATAACCAAAGAAAGGTAATAATCTAAGTGGTGAATAATTTCCATGTAAATTTAGGTCAAAGTGAAGGATCATTGATATCTTATATGTTTATTACTATATAACATTTTAACTGCTTTCAGTTAACAAAATAAAATAAAAAGTTAAATAAATAATCATACCAAACCCTAAACCGTAAAATCCCCCTTTTTTACCTTCATCCACCAAACTATTCAAAGTCTTACACAAAAATAATGATTTAAGAGAGATACGTAACACTGTGTTTAACTCATTCTCTATAGTCAAAAACAAGCTTGCATTATTATTTGTTCCACTGTTATTAGTCAAGCAAAAAAATTAAATGGAAAAAAAAAAGAATATTTATATGACTCCATTCAATTCACTCTTTTATAGCAATGACTACGATAGCCTCTCATCTTCTTTTTTTTCTCTCCACCATCTTCTCTTATCAACTTAGACTCATAAGTCTCCTCTCATCTTCATCATAACCTAAAAACAAAAACAAAATCTTAGATTATCAGATCTTGATATCATGGATCCTATCCTCGGCTTTATGGGCACAACAAACATGTCACATAACACAAACCTTATGATCGCCGCCTCAGCCACAACCACCACCACCTCCTCGTCTTCCTCTTCTTCCTCCGGCGGCTCGGGGACTAACCAGCTGAGCAGGTACGAGAATCAGAAGAGAAGAGATTGGAACACTTTCGGGCAGTATCTACGCAACCACCGTCCACCACTTTCTCTCTCCCGTTGCAGTGGTGCTCATGTTCTTGAATTCCTCAGGTACCTCGACCAATTCGGCAAGACCAAGGTATAACATATTCACTTACATATGTTAATGTATCTCTTACATCAAAATCTCTTTTTGATAGTTAATTTTTCCACTGAAAGAGATCCAAATGAAACCCTATGTCTAATTTGAGTTGCTTTGACCTAAAACATATTTTTGTTATAGTTAGGAATGAAATTCTTATTTTTGTTCTTATAAACGAAATGAGTCTCACTGATCTGCATTTATTTTAGCTCACTTGGGTTCTATATCTTTCATATATTTTCATCTATATATCACCGACAAATAGTATTGCAATATGATTCTTAATTGTATTTCTTCAAAAAGTTAACTCCATCATTAGCAAAGAAATATAATTTATGTTCTATGATTCTTACTGTGATGATATATAGTTGAATATATGCAAAAATGTTATTCAAACATTACAAGCACAGAATATCTATATAGATTGAAAATACTGAAGTTAAAACGCCACTTTGATCTTTGATTCGCTAGGTTCACACACACCTATGTCCATTCTTCGGGCACCCAAACCCACCAGCACCATGTGCCTGTCCACTCCGACAAGCGTGGGGTAGCCTCGACGCACTCATTGGTCGTCTTAGAGCTGCTTTTGAAGAGAACGGTGGTTCACCAGAGACGAACCCTTTTGGTGCACGAGCCGTTCGACTCTATCTAAGGGAAGTGCGTGACTCGCAGGCTAAAGCACGTGGGATCAGCTATGAGAAGAAGAAGCGGAAGCGACCTCCTCCGCCACTACCACCGGGCCAGCCGGCGATTTCAAGTAGCCCTAATTAGCACTATGTCATGAGTAAAATGTTTCAATGAACTTATATAGTATTTTTCAATGACGAACATGCACGAGTTATTTTAAAGCACATGCCCTTTTCTTCCTAATCCTCCTCCTTTATTTGGCAAGCTAAAGAATTTTTATGTTGTATTGAATAAATTTGTAATTCTTTTTGTTTGGCCTCACATAAGTATGGAATATGGATTAGTATATTTTTAATACATCCATTATTAGAAAAGTCATAAGTTTTATCTTAGAGTGATACCACTAAATTAATGACGACATCTTTGTCATTTATTTCCAAAATTGAAAGATGACAAAATTATGATCATGTTGGTTCATTTATCGCATGTGATTATAAAACATAATAACAATTTTGTATGCATCGCAAAAGAAGAAAAAGAAAAAGAAAAGAATAACTTAATTACGATTTACCAACGTTTTTACTAGTTCTACACTTCTACTTCTACCTATACCAAATAAACCATTTATTTTATTTATGCGTTTTGTCTACGCTATTCAAGAGTTTATACTTTATACTGCGTCTTGAAGTTTTGATTAAGAATAAACTCATTTTATCTAATTATTTCAAAACCTTATCTCTATAAATTGGTTGTTATACATTTATTGATCAAGTTATACAAGAATACTAATGTTTTGTATAGGACACTATATATAGGGTTTTGTTGTTGTTGTTGTTGTTGTTGTTGTTTAGGAATCCCAATGACCGAATATGAATTAGTATTAGTTTTTTGTTTTATACTACTTAAGATATTCGGTGTAAAAAATCTTCATAATTAGCCTCTATTAATGGTAGAAGCTCTACCGTAGAACCAACTTATAATAGAAGTTGAATATTATTGTAGTTCGATAAGACATGACAAAAGAAGATTTGCAGAATCAAATGGTTGTTCGTGTCTTTTCATGCTCTCTGTGTACGCCTTCCTTTGTAGCGTCCTAATTTGGTAGGGAATTGGCAAATCATTCAGTTTCTTGTCCTTGTTACCAAAAGTCTTTGCTTTCTTTCTTTATAAAAATGTATATTATTGTATCGGTAAATTCTTGATCTCATATAGCTTTAGAGGTAAAGCAGGTCAATCACTTTGATTTACTCTAAACAACAACTTAAGCTCAATATTACCTTTTAATCTTGCTTAAAACCTTAATGTCAAATATTCTTTTGATTTTTCGACTAATATGATATATTGATGTTATCTAATTACTAACTTAAGCGTCAAATGTACACGATCAAAAGTCAGAGCATGTCCTAAGCAACATATAGGATGATGAATAATGAAACAAAACACATACGAGTTCCAGAAATGATAGTACCAAGACAACAATATGACAACTTTCAGAACGAAACTCCTACTTATGTCGATAAACAACAATTGTTAGTCGATAATTATCATTTAACGAATGTTGGTACCAACACATAAAGGGAAACATTACATAGGTGCACTGCAGATTGATTGGTGGACCAAAGCGGGTCAGAACCGCATCACACGCTCTCACCGTCTCATTTGTCATTTCATGTCAGCTCTGCTCAAACGATAATTGGAAAGAAAAAAAAACTAGTTTTGCCTAAAAGACAGTTTTTCTCCTCCGTTAGATCTTCAACACGTGGCTCAATCTCTGCCGTACCTGATTTCCTCCTCTCCTCTTGGACTTGGTTCGCTCCCAGCTCAAGATGTGAAGAGCCCATTTATTTACAGGCTTTAGCCCATTTGTTTAACACCATTGCCGAATCAAACAACTATTGTTTTGTTTTAATTTACAAATGATTTATCCATGCTGTCGACTAAAATCAGGTAATTAGTGAGTTACAAAAAAAAAAAAGCGACCATAATTTTTATTCGATTAAGTAAATAATTATGAACTTTTTACAGTAGACACACTATATTGGATGCTATTTTTATACTAAACAACATAAAATTAGAAAGATTAAAGAAAATAAAGATGACCATTGCTTGTAGTCTGTGTAGTGTTTTCGATGTATCACAACTTGAATTTAAATTTGTATTTTGTATGTTGATGACAAAAAAATGTTTTTTTTCTTACAACTATTCAAACTCTAACAAAAACGAGACTGAAGATGAGTTATTACCAAAGACACAAGTTTAGAAGAGATCCTATGGAATTTCAGATTAGAAAAAAAACACATGTTAATCATTAACTACATTTATATCTTAATACAAGTTTTTTTAAAATAATTTTATGCGCGAAGGGTTAGATGGGTGAAACTCCATGAAATTTTAAATTTACAAAAATAAAAGTTTACTCATTCCACCGTTTAAAGAAAATCTTCTGGATTTACCACTTGGAGAAAGTGATACTGAAAATAGGTATGTTTTGGTACTTGTCCATAATATGTTTTGGTCAATCAAAAGTTGGCCATTAAAACCTAAAAAACAAACATATCATTTTAGCTTTTAAGTGTGGTTTCGATGGACAAATTTTAGTGAACAAGTTGTAATATACCAAAACATATTATGGATAATACCCATTTAGTACTATTTTGTAGAAGTGGTAGGTCCATAAGATTTTAAAAGAAAAATAAAAATAGAATGAGTAAGGCCATGAATGTTTGTAGTTTTTAAAATGGTTTTTGGTTTTTAATTTTTGATTTTTTTGGTTTTTGTTTTTGGTGTAGATTTTAGTTTCTTAAAAACTTGAATGGTAATTTATTTAGATTTTGGTTTTTATGTTAATGGATAATATTTTTCTTTACAAAAAAAAAAATGTGATCGATGGTTTTTGAGAGAGAAACTCCAAAAAACATGAATTTTGGTTTTCTTTGAAAAATTGTTAAAACACTCAAAAACTAGATTCCCTATTTTAGGAAAACTTGTTTTTTCAAAATCTTGAATGACTACAAAATAGATTTTGGAAAAAACTAAAATCAAAAACTAGTTTAAAAACTACAACCATTCAAGGCCTAAGTATCCTTAGAAAAATCTAAGTATAACTACAACAAGAGTTTCTTAAACAACATCAAAGAAAACTTAGAAAGAAAAAACAAATTATCATGGGAATCATTTGTGTTTTCCATATATGTTTTTCAAAAAGTTGAACATGCTTGGATCATGCCAACGAACCATAACACGAAACATATGGAGTGGTACATATATTTTCAGATAAACCATTTACAACATGGTAAATGAAAACGATTATGAATTTTAGGAAAAGATTGCCAAATAACGTGTTATTTAGAATAACACCATCCAATTATGTAACTTTTGCAAATGACAGAAGTTTAACAACACCAATATACTCAATTATTTTTCGTAACATTGGTTACATACCTAACTAAATCTAGTCTCCATTATGTATATTAAAATCGGGACAAGTCAACCATTAGACATGTGTAACCAAATGGTGAGTCATTTATTTTCCTAGTAACCCACTCACACACTCTTATTACCAGAAAGAAAAAGCGTAGATCCAGAGGCAACAATATTCAAACACAAAAAAAGTCATGAAATAAATAAAGGGAAAAAACCCGAAAAATACCCCATCTATTTTTAATTGGGACGTTTAATACCTAACTTTTTTTTGTTGGAAGAAAAATACCTTCTTTAATTATAATTGGTCGAAAAATACTTTATTTTTATATTATTGGTAAATTCAAACCTCTGATTTAACGGTCGTTAACGGACGTTACGGTATCAGTAAACGACGTTATATTATAACAAAACAAATAGCCGAAAAATGCTTCATCTATTTATTTTTGGATTTTTAATACCCAAACTTTTTGGTTGGAAGAAAAATACCTCATTTAAATATTTTTGTCTAAAAATACCTTATTTTTGAATTGTTAGTATATACAATATTTATACAAACTTTTACAAATATATTGCTTGATCTAATGGTAACACGTATGATTTTTAACCCGCATAGAACTTCTTTTGATCTCCTATTTTCTTTAATGAATGACATACAAATTTAAATACATCATTTGCTTCACTCTTACAAATTTAAATACATCATTTTTTCATTCCTAAAGGCATCGTTGGAGTTAGAAGGGTTTTTGTGATAGTGATTTTAATGATGGAATGTAACGATTCTGCAACTAACAAATGAGAGATTGTGACAAAGATGCCGACGACGATAGATTTGTCATTTTTGTGGTCGTGAAGTAGCATAGTTGCGGAAGTGGAGAAGAATTTAAGTAAAAGTGGAGAGATGAAAGAAATGGTTCGAGAAAGATTGAGTTTTGATAGTATTAACGAAGTAATATTGAGTTTTGATCACACCAATATATTTGTAAAATTTTGAAAATAAATTGTATATATCTATTTATATACATAGGGTTAATATTTAACGTCGTTAAATGTTTCTGTAATATTGTTAACGATTGTTAAGTCGCAGACTTGAATCCACTAATAATTTAAAATGAAGTATTTTTAGACAAAGATATTTTACATGAGGTATTTTTCTTCTAACCAAAAAGTTGGGGTATTAAAATTCCAAAAATAAATAGATTGGGTATTTTTCGGCTATTTATCTGTTATAATTTAACGTCGTTTACTGATATCGTTACGTCCGTTAACTACCGTTAAATCAGAGGTTTGAATCTACCAACAATTTAAAGATAAGGTATTTTTCGACCAATTATAATTAAAGAAGGTATTTTTCTTCCAACAAAAAAAAGTTAGGTATTAAACGTCCAAATAAAAAATAGATGAGGTATTTTTCGGGTTTTTTCCCAATAAATAAATAAAAAAAATAAAATCTTTCAATTATTCATATTTTCATGTTACAAAAACAAAAAGATCACCGACACACAAAAATAAATTAAACCAAATTCAATGAAAAAATAATTAACGACTTTGACGCTTTTATTTCTCTCATCACTCTCATCATCTCTCTCTCTCTTTCGCTGCCGCTTTGTTACTTTTGTTCGTTCAAATCCCAATTTAGACACCAACGAAGAAGAAGAAGCAGTCTCTGAAACTTCTTCTCCAGATCCGAATCTCTCTCTCATTTCTCCGATCGCTCTATTTGAATGACCTACGATTTCGCATCTTGATCTTGATCTCTGTTTCTCTCCTCCTACTGGTGAGTGACTTCTTCGATTCGTTTCTCAGATTTCTCTGATTCCTTCCTTTACCTTGTATCTGAAGCTTCCTCCGAAACTAGGTTTCTCCTTAATACGTTTACGCTTTGTTAATTTGAGATTCGATATCGATATTTGTTAAATCAGATCCATGATTTGTTTTGTAGAATCTCTAGTTTTGAATAATCACTAAAGGCGGCGATGAGAGGGAGATCAGACGGAGGGAAGAAGAAGCCGGTGATTGTTTTAGTCTGCGTTGCATCGGTAGTACTTGTTTTTGTATATCTCTTCTTTGGTTCATCTAACCATAAAGCATCAGCTATTGAGTATGGGAGAAAACTTGGATTGAGTGGTGATGATGATGATGATAGTATCAAGAAGGATGATACTTCTAGTAACTCGTTTTATGTAGAAGATTTAGGCAATGGTTTCACACCTAGAAGCTTTCCTGTGAGTGAATAGACCTTCTTTTTGTGTTAATTGATGATTGAGTTTTAGCAATGTGGTTTAATATTTGTTGTTAATTCTTTGTAAAGGTGTGTGATGATCGATACTCGGAGCTTATTCCTTGTTTAGATAGGAATCTTATATATCAAATGAGATTGAAGCTTGATTTGTCTTTGATGGAGCATTATGAACGTCATTGTCCTCCTCCTGAAAGGCGATTTAACTGCTTGATTCCTCCTCCTCCTGGATATAAGGTGGGAATTGTTTCTAGCTTTGTTGATATGATCGGTGTTTTGAAGCTTTTTTTTTTGTCTGTTGATATGTTTAGATTCCAATCAAGTGGCCGAAAAGTAGAGATGAAGTTTGGAAAGTGAACATTCCTCATACTCATCTTGCGCATGAGAAGTCTGACCAAAACTGGATGGTTGTTAAAGGAGAGAAAATTAATTTCCCTGGTGGAGGCACACATTTTCATTATGGTGCTGATAAGTATATTGCATCGATGGCAAATGTAAGGACGTTGCTAGATCTTATGTGCAACAGAGGTGTGTGCCCATCTTTAATTTTACTGATACTATTCTTGGAAATTGCAGATGCTTAATTTTCCGAACAATGTTTTGAACAATGGAGGAAGGCTGAGGACATTTCTTGATGTTGGTTGTGGTGTTGCTAGCTTTGGAGGTTATCTTCTTGCATCAGAAATTATGACGATGTCCTTGGCACCTAATGATGTTCATCAGAACCAAATCCAGTTTGCTCTTGAGAGAGGGATTCCTGCATACCTCGGCGTTCTAGGGACCAAGAGGCTCCCATACCCAAGCAGATCCTTTGAACTTGCTCACTGTTCACGTTGCCGAATCGATTGGCTTCAAAGAGATGGTATTCTTCTTCTTGAATTAGACAGGGTGCTAAGACCTGGTGGCTATTTTGCATATTCGTCTCCAGAAGCATATGCACAAGATGAAGAGGACCTCAGAATATGGAGAGAAATGAGTGCTCTTGTGGGGCGTATGTGTTGGACGATAGCTGCAAAAAGGAATCAAACTGTAATTTGGCAAAAACCTTTGACAAACGATTGTTACTTGGAAAGAGCACCTGGAACCCAGCCTCCTCTTTGCAATTCTGACAGTGACCCCGATGCTGTGTATGGTGTAAACATGGAAGCCTGCATTACTCAATACAGTGACCGTGAGTTTTCATTCTTCTCTTTTCTTTTCATTAACAGAGTTTCGTTTAAATAACTTCACACGCTTGTCATATAGCATATCTGAGGACATATAGCTCACTAAATCATTTTTCAACGTTTCTTTTAGATGACCACAAAACCAAGGGAAGTGGATTGGCTCCATGGCCAGCTCGATTAACCTCTCCTCCTCCTCGGCTAGCTGATTTTGGCTACTCCACTGACATGTTTGAGAAGGATACAGTAAGAGCCACAACCATCTTTTATTTTTTGAAATCGAAGCTTGAATAATATGTCTATGTAGAGGCTGTATTAACCTTAATGTATTGCTTGTCCATACAGGAAACTTGGAGGCAGAGGGTAGATACTTATTGGGATCTTTTGAGTCCTAAAATTCAATCAGACACTGTGAGAAATATAATGGACATGAAAGCAAGCATGGGTTCTTTTGCTGCTGCTCTGAAAGAAAAAGATGTTTGGGTTATGAATGTTGTCCCTGAAGACGGACCAAACACGCTTAAACTGATATACGACAGAGGCCTGATGGGCGCTGTTCATAGCTGGTCAGTTTCTCCCTTAACCTCTCACTTATTCGAAATCCATTAGTATATATGTTCCTCTGTGATTTATAGCATGATTACATCGCAGGTGTGAAGCGTTCTCAACTTACCCGAGGACTTATGATTTACTCCACGCTTGGGATATCATATCTGATATCAAGAAGAGAGGTTGTAGTGCAGAGGATTTGCTGTTGGAGATGGATCGTATTCTTCGTCCAAGCGGTTTCATACTCATAAGGGACAAACAATCCGTAGTCGACCTTGTGAAGAAATATCTCAAGGCTTTGCATTGGGAAGCAGTTGAAACTAAGACAGCCTCAGAATCAGACCAAGACTCAGACAATGTCATACTCATTGTCCAGAAGAAACTGTGGTTGACAAGTGAAAGCCTCAGAGATTTGGAGTGATTACGATGATGAGGCCAAAAACTGCCTCCAACATGAAAAAAACAACATTCACAAGAGATTTCTTTCTTGGGCGAATCTAATCGAAAACATACAACGAAGAACATTCGTTATATAGCGGCAATTTAACGTTCTTTTCTCTTAAATCTTTCTCTCTTTACATATTCATATACTTTTGTTTGTAAGGTTCGTTAGAGATGACTAAAGTTTCCTATCAATTCAAACTCTTTTTGTTGCAATTTATGTATTAAATCATTGTTTAATAGATTGATTATTCATTACTAAACACTATATTCAATCTTAAGAGTCATACTTCATAAAGCTTAAATCCAAAAACTTTGGATGATGAGAAATCATCTCTTTGAGCTCTTTAGAATAATAGTTGTGATGAATGGAGAAAGAAAGAAGAAGAAAACTTAAAAGAAGAGTGACTAAAACAAAGGCATGCGTGTTGTGTACTTAGTCCCCATTATATAACTCAGAAGTTAGAGCATGGTTATAGGTGATACTCATATAGTATCATTAGGAATTTTTTAATATTATTTATAATGTTTGTTTATTGTTTGAGATTTTTTATGATATTCCTATTAAATATGTTTGCATTGGTGACACCGGTTTAAGTATCATAAAAAAAAAAATTTGCAAAATCAAAAATTAATATATTAAAATATAGGATTACAAAAAGTAATATTACAATAATAAAAAAAAATTCTCTCCTTTCTCACAAAAACGCATTTTCCCGACTAATCCCGAGCCGCCACGTCATCAGAGACTGGTATCACAAGTATCACTCCAGTGATATTACTCAGGCCCAAATCAGTTGTTTTACCCATTAATTTATTATTTTTGGGCTTATGATACCCATAAAAAATCTGCTATGTACATGGTCTAAGTAACTTTACTGTTGTTGGAAGATATCTTTAGTTTATGTCCCAAGCAAAATTGAAGATAATTGATTATTCTAAGAGACAAAAAGGAAATATAATCAAGAATAATTGCAGTTGATGATTATAACATTTTATTGGTCCAAAAGGAAACTAAAACATGTGAAAGCATTCTACAATTTTTTTTGGTCTCGTGGACACAAAGTTGAAAGCTTGAAGCTGTTGTCCACTTCTCTAAGTTAACTCCCATAATCGATACCCCCACTTTCTCGATTATATTCTATCCAAATAATTGATTTGAAATTTATTAGCCATGAGTCCATGACAATAACATCTTAATTTTTTGCATTTTATAGCTAAACTCATACAACAATAACTTTTTTTTTTGCCTTATTTTTTATTTCTTCGTATGTATTTTATCGATAATAAGATTAAATTATAAATATGAAGAATGATATGTATTTTACCCTTCTTAAATTCAGTTTAGCTAAATTATAAGGAAAATATTTTATATTTCTTCGTACAGTATGTATTTTATCCTTCTTAAGTTATTTATAAGGAAAATATGTGAAATGAAAGCATGCAGATTTTGTTTAGGTGACATATTTGCTAAGAAGTTATTGAAAATGTAAGAAAACTAAGTAAAATATTTTGGGCATAAAACTTAATGCGGAATTTTATTAGTTGTAGTAGTATCATTTAAGATATTTATTTAATATAGCTGTATTTTGTGGTATTATAATGACTAAGACATTAAATATGAATATAATTATTCCAAAATAATAGTTGCATGTTTATGACGGAAATAAAAGTCTATTTCATAACTTGAAAAGAAATGACATATAAAAACGCTACTGCCTTCAAATGTTAAATACATAAATGGATAAATTAATCATTCAAAACGTTTTTCAACTTATTTTACTAAGTATGATAAAAGTACTTTTACCATTTCCTTACATACCAACTTAACAATTATATGGGAATTAATCTTGAAGAAAACATTGACCGTTAAAACATATGAATGCTAAAACAAAAATAGTGGTTTCTGTTTTTGTTTTCGTATTACTATTGTTGGAACTTGGAACCAATTCAATTATACGCGGTACGTAGTTTGATACATTGAATATATGGTACAATACAATAAATTTATTTAGAAAAATATGAATGTGATACATACCTACAAAGTTTGGCAAATACAAAATGGTCCCCGACGTTACTCTCCCCCACCTCAAAGCTGTTCATATCGCCCTTCAAAGATTGTGAAAATCAAACCCTTATCCTCTTAAAACTCTTTAAATGTTTTCTTCTAAAGATAAAGTTGCTTTTTATTTCGAATTCGGATGGTTGTGGCGCATAAACATTAATGAAAATTAGAGAAAAAAAAAAACCCTTTTATTGAAAAAAAAATCATTAGAGAAAACTTAATTTCAAAAGCTTGTAAGTGTTCGGAAGTTCATTTAGCAAAATATATTATTTTCGAGGTTTTTAAGTGTTATGAACCAAAAATCAAGGAAGCACAAAACTTTGTCTTAAAATTTTAAAAATGTTAAATAGAAGATTTATTTAAAAAAAAAAAAGAATTCATTGATCTCAGATTTTTTTTACTTTATATTTATACATTCTTGTACTATATCAACAACTTTGGTCGCCTATATAGTTAAATTACATGTTTGATTCCTCAAATTTGAAGTATTGAAGGTGGTTTTTAACGTAAAGGAGGCAGAACAAGCAAATAAAATGAAGAAAAAAGAATGAAATCTATTTTTTTTTGTCTGGAACAGAGTGGAATATTGAAATTAATTTTATTAAAAATAATTGATGAAGAAAAATAACGTATTTTTCCTAGAAATATTAGTATAAAAAATCAATACATATATTAAAATACTATAAAAGAGTTTTTTTTTTACTGATTAGCTTTTAATTATATTTGGTCTCGTAATGAAAAAATAGGAAATATGTTCTATTATCGATGGTAAAAGTTTGCTTAATCTGAAGATTACGGTAAAAAATTAATAATGTTTTCTCCACATAATTTTTGAACAAAATTACAAAAGAGCAGTCAGTAGTTGGAAAGCTTAGGAGTTAGGACCATGGTGATTTAGAAATGCCACGGGCGTAATGCATACTGCATCTTCGGCGGACATCAAGGCTTTTGAAACCTTTTTAATTTTGTGTTAATTTTCTTATCAACATGTTATATAATGATAAACACACCAAATAGATTGTAGTGAACTAATGTTTACAAATTTAGGTAAACATCTATTATATGCCTATGAGTTAACAAACTACAGTTTAAAAGTAACATAGTTTAATGAAATAAACGTAAAAACTTTGGGTGTGATTGGTGTGAAACGAGAAAAAAAAAGTTGAAGAATTCGTCCTCTCTCATTTTCGTAGAAAAAGGTTTCTTCTGAACCAAAAAGATTTACTAGGATAACAAAAAAACACTTTGTGTGGATCCAGAAGAATTGAGAAGAAAACAAATTCTTCTAAACTACTAACCAGTCACACATTTTACTTTCGCGTGAATTCAAATAGTTCCGTTGAAAAGTTCGGTTAACTGTAAAAAAATCTGTCATGTTAATTAGGTTTGCACAATCCATTAACATGATCGGATGACAAGATTCACATTAGTACTTCAAGTCCTAGATGAAGTGTTGATAGGCTTTTGCTTTGTTTCCTTAATGGTAACATAAAAGTCTTCATGTCCTTAGGATATATATACAAAGCTATCCTTGCCCAATTGGTTATTCATCTAGCTTCCAAACACCATTCATATGGCAAACTAAGCACAATGCTTCTTTTTTTTTTTTTTTTTTTTTTGAATCTAATGTTAAATTATATTCAAAAGAAAAAATATACGTTTTTACAACTAGTACTCAATGCTTCTTCATGTACCACACTTTGCATTTAATTTGAGCATGATGAACAATATCTGTTGGTTCACACTCCAAACATTTAATTTTCTTTAATTTCCATATAAAATACACAATCCGTGAGTATTTTGAACTTCTCTATATATACTCCTCCTGTTTCACTATAATTGTCGTTAAAATTTTTCTCACACTTATTAAAAAAACCATTAAATTTTATGTTTTACCTTTTATTAATATATTATACAATTTTTTTTATTGGTCAGCACATTAATAAAGTATGAATAAAATAGAAAAATTTCACAAACATATACATTGAATATACAAAACGAGTAAACGACACTTATTTTGTAACAAAATTTTAAATCTAAAACGACACTTAATATGAAACGGAGAGAGTATTCTATTTGAGAAGTTAAATAGAAAAATTCAAAACTTACATCTACAGTAGTTAGTAAATATTAAAACATTAAAGTTAGTATTACCAGAAAGATATTAAAATTAGGGAGAATTCAATGATTTGGGATGAAGTAAGTGAGGTGGATAATATATATGTCTTTTTTTTTTTTTTCTCATAAGTGTAAACTTTATTCATAACATGCTTGGTTACATTACAGCCCATAAAAGCCCATACAGTTACATAACTTAAGGATGAAGAAAGTTATCATTGTTCTCACACAAATACACGTGTCAACAAGTGGTAACAACAAACACACGTATTGGATGAAAAATCTAAAGCTTTCCCAACAACAACTTCCGCCGTCTGAGGAACCGATTCCGGTGAAGAAAATCATCATCGAAAACTGAAATTCGACTATTGATTCCTTTGTTTCTCACCGATCAAACTTCTTGTATGATGAATCAAAGCTCCAAATTTGAGATTACGGCTAAAAGAAAATTAAAATACGCGAAGGAAAATTCTTCTTTTCTTCAACTTTAATCGCAACTATCCTTGAAATTTGCTGTAAACCGCATGTCTAAACCGAAACGAGTCGGAGAAGAGCCATCTTTAAACGAAAAATCGCTTAAAACGATAACACCAACACCGAATAACAAAACCGGACTACGCCGGAGAAGAAAAAAGGAAGCCGGCCATCACCGCCATGGAACTCGGTCGATGCCGGACTAAAGCCGGCCATCACCGATATGGAATTCGGTCGATGCCGGACGATAAAACCCGACTAATCGGGCAACATAAGCCGGAAGAAATCCGAACGGCAAAGAGTTTCATCAGCTTTCTCTTTCTCTGAAGGATTTTAGAGAGAAAAGAGAGAGAGAAAGCTCTTTTGTGTACGTGTAACATACATATCTATAATATATATGTCTACGTCTAGATAAGGTAACATATGTTTTATTAATAACTCGAGATCTATATAATTAAAACTCTCCTAATCCATCATTAAATGTCAAATATTTCAAGATTAAACCAAATTCCCAACAGTGTTAAAAACAATTTGCACAACAAGAGAGCAGTTGTGTTGTGTCTCTTTGTAATTTTACACATCAAAAGCAACAACGCAAAGCTTTAAACTTTCCTTTCTCCTTTCTCTTTCACTGCAAATTTCTACCCTTAAAAATCGAAACTTCAGGAGAAGAAATTGAGGAATCAAAATTCCCTGGATTCGAGGGTTCTTCTCCACTCCTCTCACTTGTTCTTATCTTCTTGCTTCATCAGAATCGTTTGATTTGAGTTCTGCTACATTTTCTCCGACTCAAACTTATGGTCTGAATTTTACCGTATGTACATTTGTCTACTTTCTGTTTATTCTTTCGAAATCGATTTTGGTATCGCTTTTATCTTGAACTGATCATGTTTTTAAGTTTGGTTTTGGTTAACTAATCATGGGGAATTCTCAAAATTCGATTTTTTTTTTTGGGAATTTACTGTTAGGGTTTGGCTAGTTTGATAAAGTTTCTGAAACTGGTGAGAGTAAAGGTATAAACTTTATGCTCATTTTAGGTTAAATTCTCTGTATCAACGAGGCACTAGGCATTTGATTATCAATTCCATGCTATTGATTTAAGTATTTGGTTAGAGTTCAAGTTTCTGGTTTAGCTTATTTTTGTATCTAGTCTCTTTTGTTGTTGGCTCATATATGTTATCTTGTTGTAGGTGCAAGGAACTAGAGAAATCTGTCTACTCGCGTGACATGTGAATATTGTTGTTGTACATAGCTGAAGTAGACGTCATATCAAACTCTTTGCTGATTTTTACATAAAGAGTGTATCTTGATATTTGGTTTGCGATTGAGTTAAGGGGAAGCGATGGATACTGCCAGAGCATGGCTGAATAAGTTAAAGTCTATAGGAAAGGAGAAATCCTCGAAAAAGAAGGAAACTTCTAGAAGTAATGTGAAGGAAGGATCCAAAACAGTTGGAGGTGAAGAAGCTGTGTCTAATGTAACTAAGCAGAAGGCTGCTGCTGCCAAACAGTATATTGAAAATCATTACAAAAAACAAGTTCAAAGTCAGCAGCAAAGAAAAGAGCGGTATGGTTTCGTTACATATTTCAAGATACAAAATTAAGTTTTTGTTCATTAGCATTTAGTTTTGTGACACCTGCACAAGTTTCTGGAAAACATATGTCTGTCAGCATAATTTTGGTTCTTATGCATGGCAAAGATGGAGATTAGACAAATGTGTTGTTGACAATTAGCGTTCAAAAGGAGTCTTTTAGAATTTGTTATCTTTATGAGAAATTTATCTATTCGAGATGTTGATAGCTTTGAAAGATAATTTGGTATAATAGATATTTTTGCTTCTTATATGTGAACTTCTATTTACATCTTATGCCTATTTTCCTGTAAGTGCACCTTAGAGCGTTTTTTGGTAATTGCATTTGCTGCAGACGTGATATGCTGGAAAATAAGTTAGCTGCTGCAGAAGTCTCTGAGGAAGAGCAAAAGAATATGCTTAAGGATTTAGAGAAGAAGGAAACTGAATACATGCGCCGTCAGAGACATAAAATGGGAACTGATGACTTCGAGCCATTAACAATGATAGGAAAGGGCGCTTTTGGAGAGGTAACATTAGTTCTACTGTAAAGTTTGTCTGTCACTTCTCAGCTTTTCATTGGTGTGCATATCTGTACATCATTTGATCGTCCTGTGATGTAGAATTGTTAACACATGAATGCCTGTAATGGTTACCCTCCTCGAAGGACTTGCATCCATGTGTGCATCTTCTGGGAGGATGCACCTACCTGCAGTAGTTCTTGTATTCGTTGATCTTTAGTTGGCTAGTTAGTGGCCTGTAGGGTTTATGCCATCCGAGAATAAATATGTTTTCTTAAATATCAGCATATATCATACAGTTAGCGCTTAATTTACTTATTTGGTTGTTTTATGTTTTTTTTTTTCCTCTTGATGCAGGTTAGGATATGTAGGGAGAAGACAACAGGAAATGTCTATGCGATGAAAAAGCTTAAGAAATCTGAGATGCTCCGTAGAGGCCAGGTATCTCCTTCAAGCTGCTTTTATTTGATATATCTTTGTTTTTTTTATCGTACGTTTTTGTTGAAATCTGATTCTTTTCAGGTGGAGCATGTGAAAGCAGAGAGAAATTTACTTGCAGAGGTTGATAGCAATTGCATTGTGAAGCTGTATTGTTCTTTCCAAGATGAAGAGTATTTGTATCTGATTATGGAGTATCTACCTGGTGGAGATATGATGACATTACTTATGAGGAAAGATACACTTACTGAAGATGAGGCAAGATTTTATGTTGGGGAAACTGTCTTAGCTATCGAGTCCATTCATAAGCACAACTATATCCACAGGTCTAGTGAAGCAATCAGCTATCTGGATAAATTTGTAGCTCGTGTCATTATTCTTTTTGGTGTTTTAACCATCCATTTACTTCTCCAATTTGTTACAGAGATATCAAGCCCGATAATCTGCTACTCGACAGAAGCGGCCACATGAAATTATCAGATTTTGGATTATGTAAGCCGTTAGACTGTAGTATTCTCCAGGAAAAAGATTTCGTAGTTGCACACAACCTTAGTGGGGCTCTACAAAGTGACGGCCGCCCTGTTGCATCGAGACGCACTCCCTCTCAAATGGAACAACTGCAAAACTGGCAGAGAAATAGAAGGATGCTTGTGAGTTTATTTTATGAAAATCGGTCTTCTCTTTTTCTGAGATGTTCACTTTTGCAAGACTGAATTAACAGTTTTCTCTGTTAAAATAAAGCTTATTAAGTGAATGTTTATCATTGTAGGCTTATTCTACAGTTGGAACTCCTGACTATATTGCTCCAGAAGTTTTGTTGAAGAAAGGATACGGAATGGAATGTGATTGGTAGGTGCAGCAAATCTGTTGGGTCTTGTTCTGTTTTGTTTCTTCAATTCAAAATAAATTGTTGTTGATGATTTGTTTTTGGGTTTTATTCCTTTAGGTGGTCTCTTGGTGCGATCATGTATGAAATGCTCGTGGGGTTTCCACCATTTTATTCAGATGAGCCAATGACAACTTGTAGAAAGGTAACCAGTCTTCACTTTTTATACGGGCCTTCCATTCAAATATCGGATTTTATACGGTTCTAGACTTCTAGTAATCTCAAATTTTGGCATTCGATTTAGTTCTTGAGCTTCTAATGATACCACTTTGGTAATATGTGCAGTCGCCTACCGTTTCACCTTTCGTCTCTGAATATCTTCTTCTTATGCAGATAGTAAATTGGAGAAATTATTTAAAATTCCCGGATGAGGTTAGACTATCACCAGAAGCCAAGGATCTAATTTGTAGACTTTTATGCAACGTAGAACAAAGGATTGGAACAAAAGGAGCAAATGAAATTAAGGTGCTTTGTGTTTTAAAATTCGAAGTTCCCGTGTCTAAAGACTATTGATAAATGGCTAATAAACACTTTTTGCTGGCATTTCTTGTAGGATCACCCTTGGTTCAGAGGTGTCGAATGGGAAAAATTGTATCAAATGAAGGCTGCGTTTATTCCCAAAGTCAATGACGAGCTAGACACCCAAAATTTCGAAAAATTTGAAGAGGTAAAAACTAAGTGTTTCGATCAGAAAAACGGTTTACATATTTTAATAATGGCAACGGTCCAATGATGCATATGCAGCTGTTGATATAGAAACTAATATAAATTGTTCTGTGACAGACGGACAAGCAAGTTTCTAAGACGCCAAAATCAGGTCCATGGAGAAAGGTACAAAATTTTCTTGCTTTCATGTCTCATTTTCTATGAAGTAAAAACTTATATACTATGTGTTGTCATTAGCATTCTTAACATGAGAGTGTCTTTGTTTTTGTTTCTCTCCAGATGCTCTCATCCAAAGACATAAACTTTGTGGGTTATACTTACAAGAACGTTGAAATCGTAAATGATGATCAATTACCAGGGATAGGTAGATCTCACTAACATAACTAATTTGACTTGTAACTAAACATATTCCAGGTTTGCTCTGTTGTAATTTGTGTTTGTGTTTACTGTTGCAGCTGAGCTAAAGAAGAAGAGCACAAAGCCGAAGCGGCCATCAATTAAATCCCTCTTTGGTAAATGCATTTCCCATCTAAAAGACATGACATAGATATCATTGTCTCAGAATTGTCTGATATTATCATTTCACAGAGGATGAATCAGCCAGTAGCACCACAAGCCACCAAGGAAGCTTCATGAAACTCTTGCCACCGCAGATCGAAGTTCCAGAGAAAGAAGGCAAATCCAGCTCATCTAGTGAAACCCTATCATCCTCAACCACGCGTTTCGACAATGCCACAGCCTAAACCAGATCTTTGGTCCCGGTTAACACACCATAAGACGGTTGAGGTAGCGGATTTACGGTTGGAGAAAGTACAGTTTCCTTTGTGGCAGTGAAGGCTATGGAAGGAAGATGAATTGTTTGATTGTGGTGGATAGAGAATTGTTCAGCAGGTTCCACATAGGATAATGTTTGGTTGTTCAAAAGGTTTAGTTTGAAGCCAAAAGTAAGTAAATATTCATTTTCAGAATTGGGTTTATTTGTTTGATTGATTGTTTTGTTTGGGTAAATCAAATTTGGTTTGTACCACACAGTTCTAAAGAGGAAAATGTTTATCAACTTAATTTGATTTGGTTTGATTGAAATGTCCGGTTCTGGTATGGTTTTCTTTTGTACCGGTTCTCATAATTATAGCCACGTGTTAAAAATTTCTTAGTAATGGATTTGGGCCAGACCCATTCTCAAAGCCCAATCTATTTCTCAATGAAACATATATAAAACCTACTCAAAGTGAAGAAAAAGCTGTAATATCTTCTTGCGAACTCTCTGAAGTCTGAAAGATGCAGGTTTGTCTCTTTCGATGCGAAACCCTAATTTTTTTTTTTTTTGTTCTTGTCTCAAATTTTATACTGTTTCTTGAAGATTAAACTTAGCATAGTTGAAATCTGGGAAGAATTTGCCTTAGTTCTTATAAAGGTTAGGTTTTTAAGCAGCAGTAATCTCACTTTTTGTTTTGTGCAGGCAAGTGATAGGTTTAACATAAATTCTCAGCTTGAGCATCTTCAAGCTAAGTATGTTGGTACTGGTCATGCAGATTTAAGCAGATTGTAAGTTTTTTTCACTTTTTGTTTGGATTTTTCAAGAGTCTAAATTGTGTACTAATTGGAATGTGTATGTATATGTGTGTGTCTAGTGAATGGGCAGTGAACATTCAGCGTGATAGTTATGCTTCATACATTGGTCACTACCCGATGCTTTCTTACTTTGCAATCGCTGAGAACGAATCCATTGGCCGTGAACGCTACAACTTCATGCAGGTTTTACTCTCTTTTCTTCTTGCATCTCGTAGTTTCATGTCAAGGAATCATATTGAGAATGTTAGTGTGTTAGTGTCTAAGGGATAGGAACAATCAGGGTTGTTTCAAACAGGGTAAAGCGTTCCTGCTGCTATCCTTTTCCTGTTGCAGAAACCATTAAATATCTTTCTCTTCAAGGAACATGTGGGTCTCAAGAGCACCTGCGTTAATATCAAGTTTTTCAAGTTTCTCTCAAGGAACTTTGGGATTTCAAGATCTTCTCCTAGATGTTTTGGAAGAAGCGTGCCTTAATCTTGAGACCTAGAAGTTCTGTGTTGCTCTTTTACAAACACCAGTTCTATTGTTATATGAATCAGCAACAACTCCTTGGGAAGCATACCCTTTAGAAAAGATCATTGAAAATGGAGAATGGAACTTACTCAACGATATTTACTGGCTTCTGCAACCGGAAAGGGGAGCAGCATGAAACTCTTCTAACGCTTACCCTGTATTTGTCCGCAACAGATTGTATCATATCTTAGGTTAGCAGGAAACTACCAATCTTGAGGGTTGTTTCAAAGTGATATCTTATGGTTCTTTTGTGCAATATGTAGAGTATCTACATTCTGCTACTTCATTCTTTTTCCCTCAAGAGTCAGTGATTTTGCATTTATGCTAATAGCTTTTACTTAAGTTTATGCGGCTCTAGAATTTGTAGGTCTAGAACTCCTAATAAATTGAAATTCGCAAGGCCGAATTAACCCTTCCCTTCTAATCCAGGATAATATCAATCTCATGTTTCCCTTTTGTTTATAACTCACAAATTCTTTGATTTTTGCAGAAAATGCTTTTGCCTTGCGGCCTTCCTCCAGAAAGAGAAGACGAGTAAGAGCGTGCAAGTGTGTGTGTAACAATTGAAATCAGAACAAATATTCTATCATTCTACTTCTTAGAACTGCTGCGCCGATGTAATTGCCAAAAATGCTTCTTCTTGTTTCTAGTTCATAATGTAGTTCTTGATTGTAGTATTCCGAATCGGTTGATACCGATTGTTGAGCATGATTGAAATTCAAAACATTTGGACTTGGTTATAATTATATAGTCTTGATACAATTGTGTGACTTCAGTTACTGAATGAAAAAATCAATCTTTTTGCTACTCTAACTACACTATTGCAAAAGAATTGAATTTGAAGAAGACAAACAGTTAAAGTTGGAGTTTTTAAATGAATGACCAAAAAAAAAAAATCAAACCTTTATGTTTGCTAATGGTGAATCTCTGAAGAGACAAAGATGAGTTCATCAAAAACCCTAATCAAAACCCTGATTAAGAACCCTACACGCATCAAATCCAAATCTCAAGCTAAGCAGCTTCACGCACAATTCATCAGAACTCAATCACTCTCACACACATCAGCTTCAATCGTAATCTCAATCTACACAAACCTTAAACTCTTACACGAAGCTTTGCTTCTTTTCAAAACCCTTGAATCTCCTCCTGTTCTAGCATGGAAGTCAGTAATCAGATGCTTCACCGACCAGTCTTTATTCTCCCGCGCTTTAGCTTCGTTCGTCGAAATGCGAGCTTCTGGGAGATGCCCAGATCACAATGTGTTTCCTTCTGTGTTGAAATCTTGTACGATGATGATGGATTTGAGATTTGGTGAGTCTGTTCATGGGTGTATTGTTAGACTTGGTATGGATTGTGATTTGTATACTGGTAATGCGCTTATGAATATGTATGCTAAGGTTCTTGGTATGGGTTCTAAGATTAGTGTAGGTAAAGTGTTCGACGAAATGCCTCAAAGAACGTCCAATTCCGGAGACGAAGATTTAAAGGCGGAAACTTGCATTATGCCTTTAGGAATAGATAGTGTGAGGAAAGTTTTTGAATTGATGCCTAGAAAGGATGTTGTGTCGTATAATACTGTCATTGCTGGGTATGCACAGAGTGGAATGTATGAAGATGCTTTGAGAATGGTTAGGGAGATGGGAACTAGTGATTTAAAGCCTGATGCTTTCACTCTGTCTAGTGTGCTTCCGATATTTTCTGAATATGTGGATGTTCTTAAGGGAAAAGAGATTCATGGGTATGTGATTAGGAAAGGGATTGATAGTGATGTATATATTGGGAGTAGTTTGGTTGATATGTATGCTAAAAGTGCTCGGATTGAAGACTCCGAAAGAGTGTTTTCTCACTTGTATCGTCGGGATAGTATCTCGTGGAACTCGCTTGTAGCTGGGTATGTACAGAACGGTAGATACAATGAGGCTCTGAGATTATTTAGGGAAATGGTGAGCGCAAAGGTTAGGCCAGGAGCTGTGGCGTTCTCAAGTGTGATTCCTGCTTGTGCTCACCTAGCTACCTTGCACCTTGGGAAACAACTTCACGGATATATATTAAGAGGTGGCTTTGGGAGTAATATATTCATAGCTAGTGCACTTGTCGATATGTACTCAAAGTGTGGAAATATTCAGGCTGCTAGGAAGATTTTTGACAGGATGAATCAACACGACGAAGTATCATGGACGGCTATTATAATGGGTCATGCGTTACATGGTCATGGGCATGAAGCAGTTTCGTTGTTTGAGGAGATGAAACGGCAAGGAGTGGAACCGAATCAAGTGGCCTTTGTTGCTGTACTAACTGCTTGTAGTCATGTGGGGTTGGTAGATGAGGCGTGGGGGTATTTCAACAGCATGACTAAGGTTTACGGTTTAAACCAGGAGTTAGAACATTATGCAGCTGTTGCGGATCTTCTAGGCCGTGCAGGGAAGCTGGAAGAAGCATACGATTTCATTTCAAAGATGCGTGTTGAACCGACGGGTAGTGTCTGGTCTACCTTATTGTCTTCTTGCAGCGTTCACCAGAATCTTGAGCTAGCTGAGAAGGTAGCGGAGAAGATATTTGTTATTGATGCTGAAAACATGGGAGCTTATGTTTTGATGTGCAATATGTATGCGTCTAATGGGAGATGGAAAGAAATGGCGAAACTGAGATTAAGAATGAGGAAAAAAGGATTGCGTAAAAAGCCAGCTTGTAGTTGGATCGAAATGAAAAACAAGACTCATGGGTTTGTTTCAGGAGATAGATCACATCCGAGTATGGACAGAATCAACGAGTTTCTTAAAGCTGTAATGGAACAGATGGAGAAAGAAGGTTATGTTGCAGACACAAGCGGCGTGCTTCACGATGTAGACGCAGAGCATAAGAGAGAGCTTTTGTTTGGACACAGCGAGAGATTGGCTGTTGCATTTGGTATCATCAACACAGAACCTGGCACGACGATTAGAGTCACTAAGAACATAAGAATATGCACGGATTGTCATGTGGCTATCAAGTTTATCTCGAAGATCACGGAAAGAGAGATTATTGTAAGGGATAATAGCAGATTCCACCATTTTAACCGTGGAAGCTGTTCTTGTGGAGACTATTGGTAATGAAGTGTGAAACTTTTTTGACTTCATGTTTGTTCAGATTCAGAACGACGTCGCATAGGGAATATATGTTTCGTTACACTGATTGTAGTGTTAGGCAAAGAAATGTATTGTTATCTCTTGTTTTAATGGAATTGAACCAATTTTTAAATGGAAAAAATATAGAACAATCATGTAGAAATTGACAAAGACCAAAATATTTGTTTTGCATGGTTTTTGTATTTATTTATCAGATAATAAATGGAATGTTTGGACATAAATATATGATCTGTTGTGTACTCGTATACAACAACAACAGACAGAAGCTGACCCATTTATACCAAAATTTCACATTATTATTCATTGCCCATGATAAACCATAGCCATTGGATCCTTTTTTTGGCACTAGGAACATTCATTTTCTATGTAGTGGAAAATCGACTAGTCGTTATATTATTATAAAATATGTTGATTACATATTTATGATTGGATTTGATTGTTGACAAATGGGCTATATATTAAAATAAATAAAAAAGTGGCTATGTATTATTCGAAAGATTGGTAAAATATTATTTGAAATTAAACATATAAACAAAATTATTATGCAACAAAAGTGACTGTTACCATCTAATTACAGCCTCAGAATGGTCACAACTCAATACAAATTTTACGGTTCAAAAAATTTGCGTTACCACAAATTTTTTACCGACTCGTCTTATCGCAATGTCGATTGATGACATAATTAAAGAGAAGTTACCGTAGTGGTATAAAAATTTTACCGAAATGTAGTGTACACAGAATAAGCATTGTATTTCTTGGATCGTTTATGTTTGGTCCAAACAGTTTGGATTATATTTTTATCACTATTCTTGCAAATATTTTTGCTCTTTGCATTTTTATCATTAACATAATGTTACATTTCCAAATGTGAAATTTGCCGTAAATTGAAAAGCTAAGGATTAGTTGTTGTGCTGATTATCAAACTCTCTCTTTTAAGCATTATTGGTGTTTGGGAGAGTCGGTAACACAAAGCTTACTTCGCTTTTAGTTTTCTTGTCTTGTCTTTTCCTTAAATTTGGTTTTTGCTTGGCTCTACATTGATCTCGACATAATTTGGCAATTATCTAAAGAAAGCAAAAAACATTAAAGAAACTTTGGCAGCCATCTATGATTATTAAATTCGATTTTTAATGCAAGTCATAAAAATATATTTTAATAGAGTAGATATCTTTTTTTTTTGTCGACAGAAATAAAAAAAAGAGAGAGTAGATATAGAATTCTGACCATATTCTATATTAGAAGAACAACCTTCATAAATTATAGAGTGAAATCGATTCAAAAATGTCAAAAAAAATAATAATTATAGAGTGGATTGGTAAGAAAAATATTTAAAAGAAAATTTAGGTAAAGTAGTAGAAAATTTTATGAAATTTGCATCACTATGATGAGAAGCTCAAACATCCAATGATAATATGACAGTTTTTTTTTTTTTTTCAATGGAACAAAAATACGTAGCCTTGCATTATTATTCAGTTTCGTTTTATCCATTATACACTTGTCTCTTTCCTTTTTTTTTTTTTGTTTGTTTTGTTATTGTGTTTGTTTTTTTTGGCGAATAATATAATAGAGTGGGAAAGTAAATAGCACTAAATATTATTATTTGTTGCTATCTGTCTCGTTTATTTTCCTTTCCCGTGACTAAAAATATTTTTTTTAATAAAAGTAGTAATAATAAAGAAGGTTGAGATAAATAAATAACATCCGTCAAAACCATCTGTCTCTGTTTCTCTTTCGTCTCCTCTACTTTGTTCAGTCGGTCATCAAACCATTTCTTCAAGATTATCCTCAGAAAATTCTTTCTGAACTTTTACTAGCAAATCTTGATTACGGTTTTAGCTTCGTTTTACTATGTTGTGATGATGAGAATGTTATATTAGAGTCATTAACCGCTTTGTAAGTAGTATTTATTGGAATCGAAACGATGGATCATCATGTATTCGGTGGCAAGTTCAAGTTAGGTAGAAAGATTGGTAGTGGATCATTTGGTGAACTTTATATAGGTATCATTCATAATATTGATAGTTCTTTTGGTATTTGGTTTTTGGTAAATCTGATAATAACTTTGATTTTTGGTTATGTGTGATTACAAGGGATTAATGTTCAAACTGGAGAAGAAGTTGCTCTTAAGCTGGTATGTTACTGATTAATGAATTCTTGAAACATGTTGTTACACTAGCTTTTATTGAATATGACAATATTATTGATTCTTTTGTTTTTGTTCTCTATAAAATAGTTGTTCTGTTCTTATTCATTTCTTTTTGTTGGTAGGAACCTGTGAAGACAAAGCATCCTCAGCTCCATTATGAATCAAAAGTTTACATGCTTCTTCAAGGAGGGAGTGTGTTTTTCATATCTCAGCTCATTTCTCTTAACGTTTTTGTTTCCATTGGTTTGATTTCTTTTGGTTTTCTTTTGAGCAGCGGGTGTTCCGCATCTCAAATGGTTCGGTGTTGAGGGTAATTACAATTGTATGGCTATTGACCTTCTTGGTCCAAGCTTGGAAGACTTGTTCAACTATTGCACTCGGAATTTTTCTTTGAAAACTGTTCTAATGCTTGCTGATCAGTTAGTAAGTATACATATATACCCTTTTGAGTTCATGATATCGGGATAATGTTCGGTTGCTAATGTTAGCTGTTTTGAATATTAATGCAGATAAACAGAGTTGAGTATATGCATTCTCGAGGATTTCTTCACCGTGATATAAAACCGGACAACTTTTTGATGGGTCTCGGTCGCAAAGCAAACCAAGTAAGGCTTTCTAGTTTCGGCTTTAGTATGTCGTATAATTGTTCTTAGCATCGAGTATGGTGTGACGAGTTTAGAATTCAACCTCAGGTGTACATTATTGATTATGGGCTTGCTAAAAAGTATAGAGATCTTCAAACACACAAGCATATACCCTACAGGTGAGAATACTTGCTGTTGTGCTTCACTAGAAATGAGTTTAGGCAAGTATTGATGTTCATATGCATCTAACTAAAGAAACTTGTTAGTATGTAGTTGGATCTTTCTTTAAACAAGAGTCTATCTGCATTAGTGTTTTTTTTTTTTTTTACATTTCACATATGCTAGGTAATTTACTATATGCACTCTTCTTGAAACTTTTACAGGGAAAATAAGAATCTGACTGGAACTGCTCGGTATGCAAGTGTCAACACACACCTTGGGATTGGTGAGGATTGTTTCCATGAGACACATCAGAATGAGCTTTCATTTCATATCTCCTTCATTTGAAACATTTCTTATATCTGCCTGCAGAGCAAAGTAGGCGAGATGATTTGGAGTCTCTTGGTTATGTGTTGATGTATTTTCTACGAGGAAGGTAGGAAACTATCTTTAGTTGTGTATTAATAGTGAAATCTTAAAGAAACATGAAAATCCTTAAACTTTGGGTGGCATGTATCTTCTTGTCACAGTCTACCATGGCAAGGTCTAAAAGCTGGTACCAAGAAACAGAAATATGAAAAGTTTAGTGAAAAGAAGATGCTTACTCCAGTAGAGGTACGTCATTTTCTATAATAGTGTTTTTGTATTGCGAAAAAAGACGATGTTTAGCTTTTCTTGAACTTTTCGATAAACATGAGTATACTGTTTGCAGGTTCTTTGTAAGTCATTTCCATCTGAGTTCACATCATATTTCCATTACTGCCGTTCATTGAGGTTTGAGGATAAACCAGATTATTCATATCTGAAAAGACTTTTCAGAGACCTTTTTATTCGGGAAGGTTAGAAACCTCTACCGTGTTTTTGAAGTTCTATTGTTCATAAGTGTAAGAATGACTCTTTCGGTATATGGAACATTTAGACCACTCATGAATTACTTCAATTGTTAATGCATGCAGGTTATCAGTTTGACTATGTGTTTGATTGGACAATCTTGAAATATCCTCAAAGTGGCTCTATTTCGAAACCGAGGGTTAGTGTTTTTTTGTGTCAACATGTGATGAACAAACTTTTAGAAACTGTAAACTACTTCTGAAAATCTCATACTTGTATTATATTGTGTCTCATTTCCATCAGCCAAATCCAAAACCAGCTCTAGATCCTCCAGGACCATCTGCGGAACGAAATGAAAAGCCTATAGGTATTACTTGATTTTGTCTTACGCTGAGATGGTTGAAGTATAAACTCAGAAGTTAATTTCCTATTTTTGTTTAGTGGGGCAGGATCTGCGAGAAAGATTCTCAGGTGCAGTTGAAGCATTCGCCAGAAGAAATGTATCGAGTCATGGCATTCGTCCTAAGCACATTTTTTCTGATGATGCTTCCAAAGAAGTGGTTAGTTTGCTATTTGGTATCTTTCTTTTCATCCTCTATAGATGTACCTCGTTTGCGAATCGTGTTTATTTTGCTGAGTGTTTGGTATCAATCATGATGTTTGTTGTTGATTGATCTCATATTGATGTTTGTTGCAATACGCAGCAAGTGTCTGAAAAAACCCGAAATGAGATTGCTACAAAGATGGCAGTGATATCAAGCAGCCAACCTGGCTCATCAGGTGAGCTTAGTGAGAACCGCTCAAGTAAACTTTTTACAAGCGGTGCCCAAAAGATTCAACCGGGTCAAGAAACTAAGTCAGCCGCAAGGCTCGGGCGTGATGACGGCCTGAGAAGCTTCGATCTGCTTACTATCGGGTCTGGAAAGCGGAAATGAGTCACCGGAAGAAGATTGTGCAAGTTTGGAAGAATCTGAAAATGTTTAAACAATGAAAAAATCTATAGTCCATTTTTCTCTGTTTACCCTTTTGAGAGGAGAGAAAGTAATCTGTCTCCCACCTTATGTGTTTATATATAGTTGTTCATAGAATTTTATAAAGTGGTATATGTAACTTGTAACACAAGTACTTTGTTTATATTAGTTCAAATTTGGTCAAATAGTTAAATCTATTAATAGACATCAAGTGTCCTGAAGTGTCTGAAACTAAAAATAAGGGTTACCCATGAGAATGTTTGGTCTGAAGATCACATTTAAGTTGATTAATGGAGACAGAAGAGAGCATTCAATTTTTGGTTTTCAAGAATCTAATGATGGGGACACTTTGGTTTGGAGAAATCAAGAAACAAGCCTCTTCGTTTATTCAAGACAAGTACAATGTTGCTAGACTTGTCCTCACCGATGTTACCGAAGCTGAGTTGTGAGTAGACTTACTAAAACTTCATTAGCTATAACTAATAATACTCCATTGATGATGATTACATTTAATTCTTAGGTTAGTTGAAGAGGTGACAAATGATGATCCTTCTTCACCAGACGCTAAAACGATGACGAAAATAGCCGAGGCATCGTTTGATACTGTGGACTATTGGAGAATTGTGGATGTTCTTCATAGAAAGTATGAATTAGTTTTGTTTCTCTTGGAGATTATTATTATGATTAAAGGTATAATTAAGATGATTATATATTAAAAACAGGATTGGGAAAGAGGAAGGAGAAATGAAGAAGTGGAGAGAAGCATACAAGGCAATGGTGTTGTTGGAGTTTTTACTAACACATGGTCCTCTTCATTTGACTCATGATTTTCTTTATGACTTGGATCATTTTCGATTCCTCTCTACTTTCCAATACGTCGACGATAATGGGTAGTTATTATTCCAAAATCTCCAAAAAAAATTTGACTTTGAATTTCAGAAAATGACCCCCACAAAATACAAATAGTTTAGGTACTTGAACTCTAGGTTCCATGGAAACTCCGTCCGAGATTCCCGTTTAGGAAATGTTTTAGAATCGAAATCAATTTTTTTTTGTAGCTTAGGTGATCCTACAAGCTTTCTAGGTTCAAAGACTAACCAAGGGCCTAAAAAATCGAAATCTTTTGGAAACACGGAAACTCAATTCCTAAAATTTTTAATATGGAAACACGTCGAAAAGATCCTATTTTGTTTTGGAACGCGACGAAATCTTGTTTTCTTATTTAGATTCTTAATAAATAAAAAACTCAAAAATACAATGACACATATGTTATTTTCTTAACTTACATGCATTTGAACATTCAAATGTCTCATTTATATTAAAAAAAATTTGTTATCAACTTATCATGTTTCTAAAGTTTTCTTTAATTTTTTTTTCCTTATTAGGTTTGATTGGGGAGCTCAAGTTCAGAAAAAGGCAGATCAAATTCAAACTCTTCTTTTAGGAAAAGAAGAATTAAGAGAAGCTCGTCTTAAAGCTCTCAAAATCACCTCCCAAATCAATGGCTTCGGTAACTCCACCACATTCTCTCCTTCTCCATCTCCATCTAACATCTTCTCTCCCTTGAAAACCTCCAATTCAACACCAACCAAAAGAAACAATCCAATATCCGAATCCGATTCATTAATCGACTGCGAAAACAAGCTCACGGAAAATGATCGAACCGGTGAAGAGACGCTAATCAGCGGAATCTGCTCCAAAATCGCCGGATTTAGCCCTCTCAAGAAATTTCAAGGCGGTCGTATTACGGCGGCAAAATTTCAAACTTTGTCGAACGTTGAGAAAGTCTCAAGTAAATGTTACGATCGTCGCAATTCTATTGGCTACTAAACAAAAACCGGTTCGGTTCTGGTACAATACATAACGGTTTAGTCAAACCGAATTACAACGCAAGAAATGCTGCTTTTGCTAATCCTGTTTAAAGCTTCTTTAGCTAAACATTTTGCAGCTTCTTTAGGATCTTCTATGTGTCTGATTAGATTAATCACTTCTTGATTCTTCATCACCTGTAACCAAATCATACTCGTTAACGATTTCGCTTAGTGATTCATCAAGCTGTATTTGGTGGATCTTGATCTTGATCTTACCTCCCAAATCCCGGAGCTACCGATAATGATAAACTCTGTATCTGTACTAATCTTTTCTGTAATCACTACAAGTTCTGAATTTCTTGGATCTGATTCATCTTCTAAATCTTCTTGATTACAAACTGAGATTAGATTACATGTAAAGTATTAAGTCTCATTTCATTTTCTTGTAACACAAGTAACCTAAGCGAATATTCGGGTTTGAAGGAACAAACCTGGGAAAATAAATTGTGACCAATGTTTTGAGAATTTCCGGTTCTTATCTCTGATTTGATGAGCCTCACCGTCTCTGCAAACCACTACTCTATAGCCCCCGATACTCGCCATGGCTAGCTTTTCTCCGTTCACTACCATAACCGAAGCGGCTGAGCCACCGGTTCTCTCTTCCTCAACGTATGCTCTTCTCATAGTCTCTTTACACTTTCTCATAATTCCGAGCTGAAAATGTCTCAAATACATTTTGACTCACTTATAAAAATAAAACGATGACACTAACATAAACCATTAGACTATATTTTCTAGTCATAATTTAATTACCTCGTTGAGGAGCTTATCAAAGATATGGTTTTGCATATATTTGACAATCTCTTTCCCTCTTTCAGCTTTCGAAACTCCAAAGAACCAAATCTCAAGCTCTTCACTTTGTTGCTCTCTTTGTACAAAAACCGAATCATCATTCGATGAATTGTCGATATTGCTTAACCGGTCTACGGTATAGTATCCGTGAGAAACCGGAGTTAACCATGATGGTTTCTTCTTCTTCCTTCTCCTTCCATCCTCAACTACAAGTCGTCTAAATTGGAACGCCTGTTGGATTCAACGATCTTTGATTCAATACAAAAAGTAAATAACACAATCTTGAATTTTGGAGAATTATAAAAGGAAGAAAGATATAAAAAAAAAATGACCTTGAGCATGAAAGGAAGATTTAAGAAGCCCATCCTCGTTCATAGCTTCTTAATTTGCTTACTATCTTATAAACTTCAAATAGCTTTTGATAAAAACAAGAAAACTTTTTCGATTCTCACAATTCAAAGAAACAGACTTTTTCAATTGCAAGTTACACTTTCTTAAGTCAATTTTGCATATTATAAAATAATAATTCAGGTGTATATGTATTAAGTAACGGTAGGAAACTAAAAACAATTAATAAACATTTAGAATGTTGTCAAGAAAACGCTTAATGTGAATAGTTTAACAAAGCGTCATATAGTAATTAGTAACGTAACGTACGCCTTTTGTCTTTATTTAACTTTGACTAAGTTTACGTTTCATCAAGAAAATAAATCCTACTATACGTTTACGTTCCAAAACCTTAAAAGACAAGCATTGGATATATTATATTTTATTAAGTTATTTGCATTATATGACAATGAGAAAATCATTATAGAAAATAACAAGGCTATATTACACTTAAAAAAGAGAGGCTATATTAAAAAAACATCTAAAGATTTGGCATGTGCATTAGTATGTATCTTCAAAAAACGATAAAACTAAACTTAGACCCTAGACCGCTTTTGCATGTGCATTTGTGTAGTATCGTGTCAATGAATATTATTGTGAAACAGAATGAAATAAATAATTCACATTAAGCGTTTTGTCGACAACATTATTTTTTATGAAAAGGCATGACATATACATGCAAATCATATACGTAATACAAAAATCTTAAGACACTTTGGGAAGATTAGAGAAAAAAACAGTTTTTTTTACCAAAAAAAAAAAAAAGATTAGAGAAGACAATAGTTTAACCTCTAATATTTACTAAATTAGACAAGACAATATTTTTATTTCTAATATGTTCTCACGAGATGATGGTTCTCTAGTTATTGATATTGGTATTTCAGGCAAAGATCGGCAGACCAAATTTAGGTTGGGCCAATTGTGGAGCATACTGGATAATGTGTGGATTGAACTCTGATACCATATTAGAATATGTGCTTTCAATTCAAAATAATTTGGCAATAAGTGAATTGTCCCATATATCTTATATACTAGTCAAAATGTTTTGTCTTTTTTAATGTGGAATATTATTATCCTTAATATTAACCTATTTAAGATGTGAGTATAATTAATATGGTGAGTAATTAATATGATGAACAATTAATGTTTTCATGTTTTATTATTGACTTCTTATGTTAAAAGTAAAAAAAATCAAGTTAAATATGTTCTTAATATGGTTAATGAGTAATTATATTGACTTGTATTACAATATTGTATTTTGTTTCTCTTTACAATTATGATATTTATCTTTCTTAAATATAGTTAGAAATATGCTTATATATACCAAAGTAAGTATGAAGTTTTTAAAGACCAAAACATATGAGAGAGAGAGAGAGAATGGTGAGGACTTTTATCTTGTATATGTTAATGTTTATGTTATTGGTGAACAAACCAACATCATCCCAACCCAATCCTACATGTAGCAGGACAAAGGTTTTCACGATTTGTACATTTGTGGTGGCCCTCTTCTTTTGGATACTCCATGGGAGTCTCCATCACAAGAATGCTGCAACTCCTTAAAAATTGATAATATGTATTGTCTTTGCCAAGGTGTTACAAAAGTTTTCATGCAATATTATGAGGTAAATAAGCTTCCTAAACTCTCCCAATCATGTGGCAACCTCTTGACTCCTGGATCTTACTGTGGAAGTAAGTATCATTAAACTTGCATTCTCGAGTTTCATTACTATTATATTTATCTAATTCATATTTTTTTTTCGATGTTTCAGTTTACAAAATTCCTGGTGGTGCTGCATAAAACTAAAAGATATTATGACATTTCATCTCTTGCTCTTATCCATAAGTATTACTTAAATCCAATTATTTAAATTGTGTGAGGAAACTATTATAAATACTAATGTTCAATGATTAATATTGTATGTGGTCAAAAATAGTGATATGATTTTGACTAACATAAAATGTTTTCGGTTGCTTTTTAGTATATAAAATGTTTTCTTAATAATTATATTTATATATTTGATTCTTATTGACTCGTTCGTTTCAATTGAAAAAAATAGTATCGCAAAAAGCAAGCAAATATTCACTAAATTAGAAAAGACAAAAATGTTGTCTTGTCTAGTATCAATCAATTGGGCCGGTTTTGAAATCACGCAGCGAATTAAACCAGTGAACCAATCGGTTAACTACTAAACCGAAAATTATTAAAACCTGACACAATAAAAACACACACTTTTATTTTCCGGTTCTAGGCTTCTTTCTTCTTCTACCTCCGTCTCCTCTTAAACCTCAAATAAGGGTTTTTGAGGAAAGCTTCTCCAAAATGGCCATTGCTCGTTTACTTTCACCCAAATTATCTCCTCATTTCAACAATAGAGGTGATTACACAAATACCCATTTTCTAAATCGTCTTGATTTTCATTCATAAACCCAAATGATTCTCATTTTGCAGTTTTCTTTTTAAAGTTAAGTGTTTAATCGATAATGATTCTGGAAAATTTTGATTTTTAATAGGTTTTGTACCTTTGACGAGGAGATGGTTATCTTCTTCTATTGAGGATGGTCGGAAATATGAGAGATTGCCAGATTCTGAAGCTTCCACGAACAAGTGAGTACACTTCGATGGGTTCTGTGTGTGGAATTTTGATGAAGTTAGAATCTTTTTTGTCATAAGAAGAAACTGAGTAATGGGTTTTGATTAATTTCTAGTCTTAGTGAAGAGTAATGAAGCTATACTTAGAAACCAAATTAGGAAATGTTTTTTTTGCTTGGAGTTTGTGGTAGTTTGATTTAATTCATGCCTTTGTGTCTTTGAACTGTGAGTGGCTTTACCTGTGTTCAAAGCTACCAACTTTAAGTTTCATATATTAAGTTACTGATTCAGTTCTCATGTTAATTTGGGTGATGCATTGTTCTTTTAATTACTTTTTGATTTATGATAGTTTTCTGATGTGTAGAGATATTGGCCAAAAGGGAGTGCGTTGGTATTCTTTGGGAGGTTTACTTACTAATCTTAAGCAAAAGATTATGGGAAACGTGATTTTGATGGACAAAAGTTCTGGTGAAGACTCGGTTTCGCCAAAATCACCGGTGGTTTCTTCATCAGATGTGACTGTTACTAAAGTGGTCACCTTGCAGAATGTTGCAGAAAGTGAAAACTGTATCCCTTCAAGTATAAAAGAAGAATCTCCAGTCTCTGAAATGGGATCGGAAGATGCATCTCAAAGTGTTGCTGCAGAAAACAAGAATTGTATCACTTCGAGAGTAAAAGAAGAATCGTCAGTCTCTGAAATGGGATCTCAAGATGTATCTCAAAGTGTTGCAGGAATTGAGACTCCTGAGAAGAGAGAAAGCATATCTGTAAGTAATGAGAGATTAGATATTATTAATAGGTTAGATGGCTTGGAGTTTGGACAGGAGAAGGTGTTGAGATCGATACGCACTGAAAGAGTGGATCCTTCCGAGGAACAAAGTTCTAAAGATGTCGCGTTAGGTTTCTTGACTGAAGAAGTATCGGAAAGTCTGACATCATCTAGGGAAAATATAGGGAAGTTGCAGCCTGCGAAAGGGCTATTCGATAAAGCGAAGCCACCTCAGAATAGTCTCTCGAAGTTGTTTGTAAACTCGGAACCATATAAAGAAGTTAAGCTTCCTCTGAAATTTGAGGCTTTGAGTAACAGTAATTCCAGTATGTCTACTGGAGAATCCTGTAGTGATGCGGGTGATCAACACGGCCTATTTGGTAAGATGCTGTCTGATCCTGGCCAGAAAATTAAAAGTATTTCCAGGGAAAATGATAAGCACAGGTTGTCGGATGTTCCTCAAAATCCCGACTCTTTGACATCCGTTCTATTAAGGGATTGGATTGATGATCAGAAGAGTGGAGACCTGGCTGCGATTAGAGAAAGGAAAAGTATTTTTTCGCTTGAAAGTTCTAGAAACACTGTTGCACCTATGGCAGTGGGTAGTATGAAGAAGTTGATGGACTCCCTTAACCTTCCAACTGACAATGGCACGGTTGCAGAAGCCAACTCGTTGAATCCTAATAGTAGTGAAGAAAAATGTTTATCCAAAAGCAATTCTGCAATGCAAAACAGTGATCGTTTTTGTGCGATAGAGGAAGAAGAATCCAAAGGGGAAACTTTGGTAATGGAAAACCAATCATTGTGCAGTCAGGCCTCTTTGGCAGCTACCACCGCAAATCCTAAGGTAACAAAAAAGAGTTTGTTCGCAATATCTGCTGGAGAACACTCTCCTGATAAAGTACTGCTAAGGTTTTTGCAAGAATCATGTCAGAAGAAACACATCGTTCAAGTGTTTTCTCAGTTTGGAGCCGTTTTGGATGTACAAGAAATTCCCTCTTTCGAAGGGTGCATTTACAAAGATGCTCTCTTAACTTTTGAGGTTAGTTTTTTAAATTTTGAATTCTCTATCTCGAGAAACAGGTCACACTGTCTTCTTGTTCAAACTTTCTTCTTAAAGAGAGTTTTTCTGCTCACCTGCTCTTTGCTTCCATATTTGTAGAATAACACTGCAGTCAAGAAGGCTCTCAAGAAAGGTAGAGTGACGGTGATGAATAACAATGCAGTTGTCGAGGCAACTTCTCAGGAAGACATGGTAGAAAGGATTTGCATTCCGGATCTCATTGGCGATCCAGATGTGCCTGTTGCATTGGTGAAGGAACCATCCCGAACAGTTAAGATTCATCCACTGACGCACAATTTTAGTTCAAATCAGATCAAAGAAGCGCTAAAGTTCTGTAGGAGCAACATATCTAAGTTTATCTTGGGTTCATCGAGAAGAGATGCTTTCGTGGAGTTTGAGGTGTGGTTTTATTGTAACTTTTCTTGTTTATCCTCAAAATCCAATGCCAGATCCAGTCAAGATAAATCTTCTACTTGTGTTGCAGACGGAAGACGGCAAAGAGAGAGCACTTGCAGAGCATTCAATCAGCATATGCAACACACAATTGTTTATCTCTAGGATTGATATACCGAGGACAATCGTGGCAAGGATTTCAAACTTGTCGAAATCAGCTATGAAAGATGTACGAGCTTTGTGTGTACCTTATGGACAAATAAAACAGGTATATATCAGGGGAAACGGTGTTGTAGATGTGCTTTTCGATGTCTCTGAGTGGCCAAACATGCTCACCATTCTCAACAGGTAGAACTAGAAACCGGAACATCCATTTTCTAAACATAACAAGTGAAAAGTCTTGACTCTTTTTTTTTTGGTGTTCTTTAAACAGCTTGAATGGTATGGAGATAGATGGTAAGAAGTTGGTGGTTCGACCTGCAACAACAGTAATACCTCCTGAAATTTTGAGGGTTTTGTGGAAAGATCCTCGAGAAAAGAGATATGTGAAAAGTGTAATTCAGAATCTGGTGAGAGAGATTGAGCAGCCTTTAGATGCAACTCGTTGCCACACACTTATGACAGATTTACTAGTATAGCTTCATGTATTCTTTAACTCTTCAAGATTAGAGCCATTGTTTTTGTAAAACGAATCAAAAGAGAGAATTAACTATCCTGACCTCAAAATTAGATATCCGGAAAACCGTCCATTAACTCTTCAAGATTAGAGCCATTGTTTTTGTAAAATGAAGCTTTATTTATTTATTTATTTATTTATTTGGTAGAATTAATTATGGATTTTGTCCTTTTTCAATAGCATTTGTAGAAATGCCATTTTACCTTTTTTTTTTATATTCGTCATTTCTCAAGATTTAGAAACACAATTTTTGAGATTATGCTTGGGTTTATTAAATTACATTTTTTTAAAAATTAATTATATTAAATATTTCCCAAAAACCCAGTGGGCTTGGGCCAAGGCCTACACGAAAAATGTAAACAGTTACAAAAAAAAGAAACCGGAGAACTCGCCGGAAAAATCTAAATGGCTCGATTCCTGTTGAGCATCGTTTGCAGAGAGACCGGAACCTTAGATCCGGCGAAATCAAGACTCACAACTTCGCAGCCGCCTCGAAGGAGCTAGAACACGGTCGGAAGATTTCGGCGAAATTACATTTTCTTTATAAGGCGTAGAGTTTAGGGTTTAGTATTTATTTTAAAAAAATAAATTCTCAAATGTTAAGTTTTTTAAAATGGCAAAAAGGGCATAATTCACAAAACTATTAAACAAATGACATTTTGAAAAGATTTTGGTGAAAAGGACGAAATCAACAATAATCCCTTTGTATGCTCAAAAGTGGTTCTACCTCGAGGTGGTAGAATGTAGTTTCACGTATATGAACGAGATAACGTTTGACTATGTCAGATTATTTGATAAACATTATATTAATACATTTATGAACTTTGTATACAAACTCAATTAGTTGTAAATCTTAAAATTTATTCTAAGAGATTTTGTTATTATTTTTCTTTCATGTATACATTAAAATTTTAAATTTCTAATAATTGAGGGATTCATTTTTTTTCTTCCAACTTATAAGTATACATATATATATATATATATATGGACAGGTAATCAAGGAGAAGTTTAAAATATTATGTGATGGAATTCAATTGAAAACCTAAATGTAAAAAGGAAATTATATATGTAAAATTATTTAAGAAGATAAGTGAATTGCTAAAAATTAGCTTAATTTTATATTTATGTTTTGACGAAAATCTGATTCCTTTTACTTAAAATTTTAAAAATTAATTCAAAAGTTTAATGTGCTTTGTGTTTAAATGAATGTTGTTGTTTAGTATGTAAACATGTTATGTGATTGTTAGTGTCTAAGTTTATATGTTATGATAGTGATTATATAGCTTTAGAAAGTGTTTTATGTTCAGTGGCATAGTTCTCTCACAGAGTATTTTTTACTCACCCATTTTTTTTTTTCATCTTGTGAGTAAACTACATGAGTTGTGTGCAATATTTTTGTTTGTGTGTGAAGTTTCAAAAAAACGTTTTGATAAGATCGGATGAATAACACATTGTCTTGACCTCTATGGCAGGACGGGTGTTACACTACCGCACACGTTGGGGACTTCGAATTGTGTTTCGTCGGTCATTTCCGCAGCTAATTCTTTTATGAGGGTGGATTGCACAGCCTCTGCTTGATCGATCTCAACGGCTGGCCGTCAGAGCTTTTCAGAACCAGTTTCTTAGACGACATTTTTTTGTTAAGAGGGGGGAAAACAATAAACTTAGGGAGAGAGAGAAGGTGTAATTAGAAGTATTAGGAGAGAGCACTAGAAGTATTTTATAATGGAGAAACCTAAAAGTTTATAATTCTTTCTCAAAAAGACCTAAAAGTTTATAATACAAAAGAATAATTAATCTTAACTTCACCGATTTATTAATTTTATACTTGTCCATTTCTTTTTATTTTTTTGGTGGTTACATGCATGCATGTGAACTATATTCTTTGTTGTTGATGCATGTAACGTTTAAGATCAGATTACTACTAGAGATGAAGATGTTTAAAATTTCTTGATGAACTTCCGAAATGATTTTTTCTTGAGTTTTATAGGATCCTTTCTTAATTTCATAAAATCCTTTCAAAAGTTCAAGGGATATTTTTTGAAATTTTGTGAAATCTATTCTGAATTTCTTGAATTCCGTAGAATTCTTCAAGAACTTCAAGGAATCCTTCATGAATTTCGTAGAATTTGTTTGGCAGAAAAATATTTACAGAAAATTTTGTACATTACAGAAAATTTTTGAATTTTTTTTTGGCGGAAATATAAGAACTTATAGAGAAGTAATTAATTAATACTACCTAATAATAATGTCACTTGTGGAAGTTTAAGTTTAGGTGCTAATTGTGTCCATAATTTTGAAAAAATAATGCATTTATGATCTTTTATACAAAAGATTAAATTTAAAGCTAAAAATATATATTTAAGAAGTTTTTATAATTATTTCATTTATATATGGGGTAAATGTCTCAGTAATCTGGAGATTAATTTTTTTTATAAAAAAGAAGATATATATACACAATATGAAAGTGAAATCTGTATTTTTGAAACTATTTAAGATAAACCATTTAATCACTATAAATTAGCTTTTATATCTTTATGGATAAAATTTTTACTATGTGAGATGATATGATAAATAGTCGATTATTGTTTTGTTCAAAAAAAAATAAGATTATTGCATTAGTGAAATTGTTTTTTAGATTATTTCATTAATAGTGATTTTCTTATACAAATATCTTAATTAATTAAAAATTTAAATCTATATTTTTAAGAAACCTTTTAATTAATTTCATTTATATATTCAATAAAAGTTTCCAAGAATTGAAAGACTAAATTAAAATTCATTAAAAAAACTATTTATGGAAAGGAAATCTGTATTTGCAAAATTATTTAAATAGATATTAGCTTTTATAGTAAACTTTTGAGGAAAAATCAGATTCTTTTAAGAAAGTTTTAATAAATTAACTCAAAAGTTTATTATACTTTGTGTGTTTATTGATACACATCATGCATACCCAATTACTGCTAGACACAATTGCGATTCTTTCAACCATGCATGCAGAGGAAGAACTCCTATATATAATGAATGATATAAGAAGAGTGATAGGCAGGAAACGTTGGACAATATAATATAGACTTCAAACTCAATCTCTAACTAAAAATACAAGAGCTCTTTAAGTTATATTACAATGGAATTCTGGATTGAAATCATAATAGGCATTGTCATTGCATTGGTCCTCGTGGTGATTGTGTTTGGTTTTCTTAAGTTGCTCGGCGTTAAGTTCACCAAGAAAACAACGACAACAACTGATGCGTGAAGGCAAAACATCTCATTTCAGAAAATTAAATAAAGTTTCATGTGTGTTTAATATTAGTTTTGCTATTTATTTTGGATTTGTATCGCAAATTATAGAGATATAACTAAGAAATAAAGTAAATTACCAAACTATATATCAAAAAAAATTATTATATACTTCCAAATTTATAAGTATATATGTATAAGTATATATATATATGGAAAGGTAACCAATAAGAAGTTTTAAATATTATGTGATGCAATTCAATTGAAAACCTTAATGTAAAAATGAATTATATTTGTAAAATTATTTAAGAGGATAAGTGAATTGCTAAAAATTAGCTTAATTTTATAGTTATGTTTTGATGAAAATCCGATTCCTTTTACTTAAAATTTATTAAATTTATCTCAAAACTTTTATGTGCTTTGTGTTTTATGGATAAACATCATGTGTACCCAATTACTGTTAGACACAATATCAAGTTATCAATTAGTTGTGATTCTTTCAACCATACAAAAATCCATTATAGTACTGTATATAAATGAATGTTGTAAGAAGAGATACAAGCAAGAAACGTTTTGCCAACTACAAACTCCATTTCTAACCAAAAAAAACGTGACATCTTTTAGTTTTTTTTACAAATTACAATGGAACTATGGATTATAGTGGCATTAGCTATTGTCATTGCAGTGTTCCTCGGGGGGATAGTGTGTTCTATCATTTTGTATTGCACCGGAGTCATTAACAAGGACATGGACGGAGACTAATGCGTGAAGGAGACATACATATGGCAGACAAAATCTCTTTTATGACATCATATATATAAAAGTTGGTCAACTCTCACCATCCTTCCGCCACGTCAGCAGTGGAGAGAATGTCATGTGTCACAACATATTATATTTATTATTTTATTTTATTTAATTAAAAATTTAAATCATGTATTAATTATTTTTTATATGAAAATTTAAATATTTAACTTATTAATTAAGTATATTCAATTTAATTAGTTACAAAAGTATATCAAACTCATATAGAAATTAAATTATTTAGCTGTATAATTGTATAAACTTATGTGTAAACATAAAATCAATAGAGTTTTAGTTAAATTTTAGATTTTATTAACGTATAAAAATAAATAATATGATATTAGAATTTATTTCATGTTTTAATATACTATAATATATATAGGATTAGTGCCAATGAATATTAGATGAATTTATGGTTTATTTTAATGCAAATATAAGATACTAAATCAACACTACTTTTTCGTTTATTTAAAATTATTTTAAAGATAACCAAATATATATTTGGTTTTAAGATAAGTAATTGTAAATAAATGTTAAACAATGTAATTAAACATAAATTAAAATACAAAAAATAGAATGAATTATTTACTCGAGAGTTAGAGGAATATATCAAAATGATTATTAGAAAAAAAAAAACACCAAAAGGATTATTTATCAAATTAATTCAATCGATGTAAATCGTTATAACTAACAAATTATGGATGAAAAAACCCGCACGTTATGCGGGTATTAGCCTAGTATTAAATAATTCTTAATTTTTGACATTTATGTGTTTTAATTTTGCTGTTTATAATTTTTCAGTTTAATCAATACTCTTTTTTTTTTTTGTGACTAATAGCTTCATGTACCTCAAGTTGTTGCTTTTGTTGATATCGAAGGACCGATTGTTATTTACTCCTATATTTTTATCCTTTTTTTCGATGAGACGAAGTTGTAGGATCTACAGTCTTGTATTTCTAAACGGTTTTCATTTTCTAATGAAATATTTAAATTCTTAAAAAAAAAT